AAAAGTTTGGGTACCCCTGATTTAACCCATCACACGTGAGATGCACCCTAGTTGAGCAGTGGCAGCTGTAAGCGTCCGGTGAGCAGTTTGGGATCTAGGTGTCTTGCTCAAGGACACCACAACATAGTTAGTTGAACCTATGACTTTCTGGTCCCAGGTCGGCTGCCCTACCTCTACACCAACTCAGTCCCAAGAAAGGAAAGAACTGCAAAGGAAGAAAATTATAAAAAAAAACAAAAGAGATAAAAGGTTCTTCATTTGGCTTTTTACTTTGTCTGATTACATGTTCCACTGTCAAAGTAGTCTTGACTATTTATCGGGTAACGCCAGATTAAGTCATCTATCAAAATGTGCTTCGAAGGTCATTACAGTGCTCACACTTCAGCCCGGTGGAGGAGAAAACAATTTGATCCCTCCTCTTTATTTCTACATAATAAACTAAGATTTTAACTGATTTATGATTGTTTAGTAGCGCTTCACAGATACGTTGGTCTCTACTTGTTCATTTACTGTGAGCCTATCACACCGTCTCCATCAGATAAATTGTCTTAAGCCACTTTGCCATTGATAAGGGTCATTCCACTCGGCTCTTATTGATTCTTCTCATGTGCAGGTGATTTGCCACTGTGACTGGTTTCCCTGCTCTGTGGGTAGGATCGTCGATGCAAATTGGGCGGTATCGTAACAGGTCATTATGGTCCTGTTGTGGTCCTTAATTGCACTATTCAATTTCTTTAGCTTCTCCCTGCACCATTTACAAGTCTGGGTGTAGCACCGATAAATCGACCTGCCAATTTATCGGTCCCGATTTCCTTAATTTTAGAAAATTGGCCGATACTTGTATGAGAAACCGATTTTACAGATTTTTTTTTTTTTGTTTGTTTTAACAGCAATTGTCTGAACTTGATTTATATTTCACTAGCTCATAGCCAGTTCAAACAAGTTTGTGTTGTTTCTAGGATATTGTTCAAGGGTATGTTTTTCAATTAAATAAGATTGGAAAGTTGAAGGTGCATTGTGACCTTTATAACACCTGACATTGTCGCGTATAAAACAAAATCGGTATCGGACAAAATCAGAATCGGCAGGTCAGACTTTTTAGAAATCAGTGATCGGCCAGAAAGCTGCAGTCGGTGCACCCCTAATGCTGCGCCATCACCTCCGATATTTCTCTGTAAATTCAGTAATTTCTTGTGGCGCTGTCCAGCTCGCACTGAATCCTAACATAGACTGATAAAGTTAGACAGGTCTGCACATAATCATTGATCCACGGCACTATGTTTGGAGCCAGAAACCAGCAACAACAACCCACACTGAACACGATCAGAGAGGAAATGGAGCTTCAGATGTAGTTTGCAGTTTTAGTGGGCCAGTCATCCTGTGACGTTCCTCCGCTGGCCAATCAATGGCTGCTGTCTGTCTGCTTACGTCAACATCGTCACCTCGGAGGAGTTCGCTTGGAACCACGAACAAGGTGGTCCCATAAATCGGGCTGAATGGTTTGGGTACCGACAGTGGGCAGGCCCTTAACTGGTGCAGTGTCGTGTGGAACCAATGAGAGTTTAGGCTGGCAAAGTGCCTTTAGTTGAATCAGCTGATCTCCTCCCTGTGTGTGCTGACATGACACCTCCTATTCTTTTTTGTTGTTGTTGTTCTCTGTATGGTTTTTAGCCCTTTAGGAATTAATTATTTACAAATTGTCCCAGTTTCAGTAATATTCAGTAGATAAATGTACACATTTCTAAGCACAACGTTGTTGAATAACACCCTTTGAGTTAATCAGTTGTCCACAGATAAACTTCTATCTGCATACTTCCTTTCCAACACAATTTTGCATCTTTTATGGTTTTCAGTCATCGTGACTCGCGTTAGGACTCGCCCTTGTGCAATACATCTCATAGTCTCATTATTGTATCTAAACATTTGTTTTTGTTGCCAAAGCAATCAGATAAGTGTTGGGTCTTAACAAACGCACAGCTCACGATGAATGTCTTGTTTGAATGTTCTTCCCAGATTTTTGCATCAACCTTTTTTTTTTTTTGCCAGATTTCAAATTTCTGGTGAAAGACCGTAGAAAGCTTCATGTACTAAAGTGTTGTACATTTCAGGTGGATTAGAGTGCGGATCTCTGGAGCTGAGGAATCCAGTATAGCCACATTCCTCACTTAAAGTAAATGCGTATGAAGGGCTTTGTTCGGTGCATACCTACATATTACTGAAGTTTTAGATACTTTTCACTTGTAAGCCAAATATGTTGTATAGAAAATAAAAATATATATTTTTTATTTTAAACCAATCACTAGAAACAGTGTTTTCTCCGTACACTTTTAGTGATTTTTCTGATTTATCTATCTTAAGAACTATTTGGGCTGTAGCTGTTGTCCAGCGGGTGTGTAGTCATCAGCCTATGACAGTGCGTGGGTGTGAAGACTATAAAAATGTAGTGATCAGTGCAAATCTCTGTCCCCTCCTTGCTCCCAGCCATCTGTTTACACATCTCTGCTGCTCTCATATTGGCTTCCCTCAGCAGATATGGGAAACTTACAATTCTGCTGATGCTGCACGAGGTGTGAGCGCAGAGTTGTGAGCATTGTTACCTGGGCTTTAAAATGTAACCTCGAAATCTAGTAGCAACACTCTTCTTTTTATTTGCTTAGTTCCACATTTAACTTGCTGTTTTAAATGAGTATTTTACATTTTCTTACCAATCTCACTCCTGATTGATCCAAATTTATTGATTATGGATAAAGAAAAGGTAAAAAAAAAACAACCTCAGCTTGGTTGGAGCATAATAGGCCCATTCTTTTCATTAGGGTAGGCATCAGTCTTGATTCTTATTCCATTGACAGCCATTAGTGGGCCATTCAAAACACTCCATTGGTGTTTAGCCTTTCTCTGACCTGGCCAATATTATCAATTTCCAGCACATGTACTATCTGACCTGTGTCCTTTTTGACGTGAACCAAAGTAGCTGGCTGTTTTACCATTGTCTGGAACTTGGAGAGTCCATATGTGAATTATTGAAAAGATTTAAGCTGCCTGTGAAGTTTGACTTTAAGCACCAGCTTGATGAGAACTACATTGAAAAGTGTATGAAATTGGAAGTGAGTTTAGATATAATACTGTTTTATAGCGTTTGATTTTAGTTGCAGTCCACACGAGGATTTGTATGTTACTTTAAGAAAAGGTTGAAGTTTAAAACCATAAGAAATATATATTTTTAATTCTCCAAAGAAGACTAGGTCTGAAGTGTTTGTTTTTTGAGGGATATTATTTATTTATTTTGTAGAGAATTCAGAGAAAACAAATGAACCTGTTTGTGGAACACGTCGAAAGTTTCAGCAAAAGTGGGAACATGTCAAATCTATTGTCATCAGCATGGTCACTGTGTGATTACTTCATAGCGTACGCAATTAAGCAATTTTAGAATATAATGCTAATGTTTAAATCTATCAGTATAACTAGTTAAAAAATATTTATCAGACTCTTTTATCTGTTGCAGCTGATGATGTTCGATATTTTTAACATAACAGTGAAGCCCGAAGAACATGTATGCATTCTCCAAGTCCGCAAAACACATGGTCGATATGGACTAAAATTTAAACTAAAATTAATATCTTGATATTTTTAAGCTGAATGGCGATATACGATGTATATCTCAATATTTTTTTTTCTTTCCATAAAGTAATAACAAAAACATTCAGAGTCAAAGCTTAGTCCCATTTGTCACACAGGCACCTTTACTAACAAACAGCTGTGACTGTACAAAATAAATGTCTCAAAAATAAAATAGTTTTTTTTTCTTGCATAACAAAACCAAAAACACAGTTGTGCACTTAAAATTTAAACATAAAACATACAGAGCAAACATAATGAAAGGCTGGCTTGCTCTTTAAAAAGTCTGATTCTAATTAAGTATATTCATTCAACCTCCATTAAACTTTATTAACAAAGCTGTTAGAACGTCCACATTGCTTGTATACTGAGCTAGGTTCTGTTTGGTTCTGGCTTGTTTCTTTCTGAATTTCATGGTTCCTATGCTCTTGAATGCACCGTGGCTGTTTCGACGCTACTGAACGCACCGCCCTGTCAAGTGTCGTGTCGCGCGTCGGAGATTTGTCTCTCCCAAGACTGACGGAGCCTTGCTGTTTGAGCTTCTGTTTGCGCTTTACTGGTTACTGCTGTGTGTAAATACCAGAAGAAACGCGGCAAATAACTCACCCTAAGTTGGATATTTTGTCTCTTGTGTTTTTTAATGAGAAGACAACTTCATACCTTGTTGTTTTAAACCATTTTATTTCCTGGAGAACACCAAACCTCTCCTTTTGTAGCAGCTTCCCAGTTATTTTCACACCTACCAGGCTACCCAGTTAGACTGTGGTCAGTGTCATGGTCTTGCAACCCTAAAGTTGTGGGTTCAAGTCCAGGTTGCATCAGGAAGGGCATCTTATAACCCTGTATAAATAAGGTTTGAATCCGGTGTAAAACGATAGCCAAATCTGACATACGAGTTTGCCCACTTTGGCGACTCCTAAACAAGGAAACTCATAAAAAAAAAATATATATATATACTCCCACTAACTGAAGTTCTTAACCCGTTTACTGGTTTATTTTTCTTAAATTGTTGTAAAAATTGTGGAAAAAGACAACAAGACACCAAAGATGGAATACGTCAATCCATTTTTGTGTTTAAATGTCAAACAGCAGCAAGTCGATAAATGATTATCCGGCGTCTGAACGGTCCTTTCGTCTTCGCCAAAAGACTTTTGGAATATGCGAACATCAACCAAAAAAAAAAAAAAAAACTTTTTTGCAATTATTTATAAGGAATGCAACAAAAGTCTCGTTTTATCACCCATTTTTGCTGACAAATCCAAAGACACTTCACTGATCAAATAATTGTTCCCCTTTAAATACTAACTACTGTTTAAGTAACTTCCTGCTATGAGATTTGTGCCGATTCACACTAAGGACAGCTTTGAACCAAATGTTTCTTTCAGCAGGGAGAAGTGGATGATGTGTGAAGGTTTCTTAGCAAAATCTTCTTGCAGCAATGGCCTGAGGGGCTCTCTGGACTAAAACCAAGGTAAGAAGTAGAACCACAATCGATCCTCTATTTGTGCAACTCTATTGCACAATATGACAGCTATATTGTCTTGTCTAACAGAAAATCAAACGCACAGGAGTTGATTGTAACAAAACAACTTAAAAGGATTGGGCTCTCACACAAGTGAGAGTAATATAAGGTCCTACTGTACTTAACCAAGTCTGATTGAACCAAGTGGATTTGTTGTAAACAGTTTAATTGGGAAATAATGTTGAGTGATTAACTTGAGGTATTCTAATGAGTCATACTTTACAATATTCTGATTTCCTCTGATATCTGAATCTACTGACGCAGCTGTTAGCAACAAATGAATTGTTTACTAGATTATGAAGAGATGCCTTTTCATATTCTAGGTCATTTGTGTAATTTACACCCAAAAATACATCCATCCATCCATCCATCCATTTTCTTTACCCGCTTATTCCATTTTGGGTCACGGGGGTCGCTGGTGCCCATGTCAGGCAATCACTGTGCGAGGGGCGGGGTACACCCTGGACGGGTCGCAAGTCCATCACAGGGACACATAGAGACAAACGAGACAAACAAACATTCACTCTCTCACTCACACCTAGGGACAATTTAGAGTTACCAATCAGCCTAACATGCATGTTTTTGGTCTGTGGGAGGAAACCGGAGCACCCAGAGAAAACCCATGCATGCACAGAGAGAACATGCAAACTCCACCCAGAAAGGCCCCTGGACCGGGGTTTGAACCAAGGACCTGCTCGCTGAGAGGCAGCAGCTCTACCAGTTGCGCCACCATGCTGCCCACAAAAATACATATTTTGACAATTTCCTTTTGTCGTCATTTTCCTGACAGCCAGATTCCAACACTCTGGGCTTATTATACTGAAAGTCATCTGCTTGTCGTTCTGCGACATCCTGAATTTTCTGCTGGTATTAAAGATTGATGAGTGTGATCAGCTTTCAGTAAATGGGCCTTGCCTGTTGGTGCACTCTGGCACTTTAAAGCCATTACCTTGCGGAGATTGTAGAGTGGAGAAACTCTTTACATGGGACTGGGTCGCACATAATTTGCATACCATCTTTCTTTACTCAAATCAGCTGAAGTCTGTGTTTGTTACAGATTTTTGTCACTTATCTAAATAACTCAAACCTGAAGCATGTCAAGTTATCTTGGGTAAATCTGGTAACCAGGAGTGTTTAGTCAGCTGATTGTGTAGAGCACGCAGACGAGCAAGTGATTATAACTTTTAAGTAATTATAGGATATCATGATTGAAGAGTGTTTAGGAGAAGCAGAATTGAAACTTTGGGCAACTGATGTGACCCCCCACTCGTCATTGAACTCCATGAACCCCAAGCTCCCGCCTTTATTTTTGAGCCTTCTTTTACTCTCATCGTTTCCTTCTGCCTCTTTGTTGACCCAAACTTGATCTTCAAACATCTGGTTCAAGGTAACACCAGCTGTCAGTAAAGCCAGAGTAAGTTGCAGACCCCCACCTGTATTGGATTCTGTTGAAATGTGTTTTGTTTATATACATGTTTTCCTTCAATACCATCTTACACGAATCCAACATGTTTCTGTGTGTTTTGGCTCTCTCAGCGCTCCTCTCACCCTCACAAATATTGAGGCGTAAAACGAGAAGACACGAGTCCTCTGGGCCCCCTCTTCTGCCATGATTTCCTCTTCAGTTTGTGGGAAATAAATGGCCCCTGTTTCAGCCCTCCAGAAGAAGTCTTTATCCGTGCGCTCTTGTTCTCCGTGTCTCTCGGGGTCTGTTGTGCCGAGACGCCATGCGAGGACGAATTACACACCAGCTAGACATTGCTCAGTGCCCCACAAAGGTTTTGCACTTTCTGGAAGGGTCCTGGTTATTACAGTGCAGAAGACTTCAAACATTTCCCCAGTAGCTTTTGAAGCGGTTTGATGTATAGTCATGCTCCGCATACTCTGAGCTCCAGAAACACTAGGTGTGTCTCTATAAAGAAAGCCATGCTAAGCCACGTAATTACAGGAATGGAGCATGCTCTGGCTCTCCTTGACAATCGGATGTTCTTTTTTCTTCCCAATTGTACTATGTCAGAAACGGGCAGTTCATTGGTTTTTAGAAGCCACCCTTCTTTTTTGATGTTACAAACACAACTCGATAAAGATTTGTTTGTATTGTATTGCTAGTATTCAGAGAAGATCTGAAAAAGTTAAGTCAGGTCCTTTGGATGGATTAAAAAAATAAAAACAAGATGTGTTGAAACTGTTTACACTCATCTCCAGGCCAGCAGTCACTCTTTAAGGGATGAAGATGTTCACATCCTTGATAGAGAGGAATGGTGGTTTGAGAGAGGAGAACTTGTCCATCATTAAACGGGGACGGAGGCATCCATGTTCAACTGTCCCCCTCTTACAATGCTGTTGTTTCTAGTATTACTCAGCCCCCTTTGAATAGCAAGCAGCCATCAGGGTGCCAACAGTCCATTGTTAGGCTGATGGTCCTCCTTTATGATGTGAACATCTAGTTTTGAATGTCAACAACAAAATGAGAAGGCGCTATTTAAAAGACTGAGCTTAGCACAGCTCTTCAGACTGACAGTCTTTTTTTGGATTAAAGACGAAACGCTTCAAGTTTTTTTACATTTTTATTCTTTGAATCATGTAGAGGACCTGATTTAACTTTTTAAAATTTTTACTCCCGGATTATTGAGCACGCATCAAGATATTCAGAGAAGACTTCCATGTTTGTCATACATGCTGTAAAAGCTGAATAAGTACCTGTCTCATTTGTAGGGTAAATTCAGTCATGGGTACCAGTCAGTGCGGATGTATCGGAACTCTGAATTATGATCCTCATCAGCATCTTGATATATTTAGATCGTCATCAGCGGTCTAGGATAAGAAGTTGCTTTTTACACGTTTCATAATAAAGTCTCCTGACTTTGTGTGTTCACTGTTAGATGGAAAGGCTTTGTATCTTGTCCCCTATATGCAGATAAATATTTGTTTTGGGGGTGTTTAAATCCACGCAGGTCATACTAGCTGCGTTTGACAAGAGGAACGGTGGTCACCACCAACACCTCGTGCAGCTGCAGCTCGTTGTCTCTGCACTCCTCCTTTGCCAGACTGGTTGGCTCCAGCTCAGTCCTGGAGAGTCTGCTCATGTGACGCCTAAGATATAAGCAATGACATGCACACGCAGCTCTGTTCACCTTTAGAAGTGTTCTTGGTTCCAAAGTCGATTGATTTTTCAACTTTATTGTTTTGTTAAAGTATGTTAAAATGTATAAAACTTCATAATGCGCTTTATCGGAAATATTATTCATCTGAGAGATAACTTCATGTTCTGGAAGATCATCTGTGTGGTGTTGCTGAAGCAGCGTTGAGGCTGATACCGTAGTTTAATAACTCAACCCGTCACTTAGCTTTGGAAATGTGTCACAAACGATGACGATCAAAACGCGTAAGGATGTGCGAATTGTTCTCGCTGTCAGTGCTGACCCCGTCGGCTCATAAAAATTCACTTATGCCGCTGTCTCGTGTTTGTGTGAAGGAGATGGGGAACACTTCTAAGTAGAGGTGTTCACTACGTGTCTGTGACTTAGCTCAGATTCAAAGTAGCAAAACGATGGCAAAGCATATCTGCTTAAATAAACCTCATGACATCATTTCCTTTATGATTTTTAGTTCGTGCTTTCCCAGTGATGGGAGAACTGCTCCACGTTTGGGTCAAAGCTGACAAACTACATTTTATATCAAGACTACAAAGGTATTGACAAATAATCAACAAGTCAACAACTGAGCTGGCAGTAGTACATTTTTGTCAGAATTTAAAGGTCAGTGAAACATTGTCTCAGTTGCACTATAATTGTTTTTACTGGAATGCGTTTAGACTAAATAAAAGCTGATATTGCTCGTTTCCTTCCTCTTTGCCCTGTTACACACTCAAATGAAAAACAAAATTCATGGCCATCTGAGGAAATGCCCTGTAGTTTTCAGGCTCTCTTGGGTTTTGAGGAACAAATATTTATCCTTTCACTCATTTCACTTTTGATGACTAACATAATGCTCCTGGTAACTGATCAACCATATGTTTCAAATCACTGTACTAATGAATTAGATGAGCTGACAGCTTGATAAGCTGTAATCTATTAAATGCCTCTAAGAACATGCCAATCATTCATATACATAATGAGGTTGCTTGCCTAACCCTCTCCTGAACTTCATTGCTGGGAGCCATTGATGCTCAACGCAGGTGAACCAATGGATTTTTTTTTTTCTTGACATATTCATTTTTTTCTTATGGTTATTTACTATTGATCAGATTTAGACAGTTTTAGGCTTCTCCAATGACCAGCTGATCCAACACAAACATTTTTTTTTAAATTGGTGTCATAGCTAAGCAGTAGTCGAAATTTTTTTAATTTTTTTTTTTCCACAGTCTGAACAAACCACAAGATGAGTCGTTGCCTCAAATGGATGAGTGCAAATGTCTTGAAGTCTTGTTCGTGAGTGATGGCGGGATGACGAGGGAGATGGAGCGAGGCCTTATCCACAGTGATAAAGGCGATGCGATGCTGTATTTAAGAAGCTAAACTGAAAGCCAAAGCTCTCCGTTTACTTGTCCGTCCAGTTTCAAGTCTCGCCTATGGTCACAAGATATATTTCATAACAGACGGAACTGGATCCTGGATACAGGCAGCTGAAATGAGCTTCTTCTGTGAGGTTGCCAGTTTCAGCCTTAGAGATAATGTGAGAAGCTCCTTCAGCTGGGTGTAGCTCAGAGTTGAGCCAGTGCTCCTCGGCATTGAAAGAAGTCGGCAAAGGCAGTTCAGGACGCCTCCCTCTGGAGGGATTTTTGGGCAGATCCAGAGCTTGCAGGAGGGACTATACATAACCTATCTGGTCTGGAAACACCTTGGGGTTCTCTAGGAGAAGCTGGAGAGTGTCACTGGGGAAAGGGATGTCTGGGTTTCCCCTCTGGACCCGTTTCTGCAACAAGACCATGAAAAAGTAGATGCTAGATGAATGAACACTATCCCCAGGTGGTGAATTTGTGCTTGCAATAGCGTATCTTCAGCATTGTTACAGAGTTAGACTTTTTTTTTAATTATTTGTAATATCTTTAAGTCATTTAAAAATAAAACGAGGGAAAGAAAAAGTTCTATAAAGCTAGTGAATGAAAAATTGTGTTGCGTACCGAGGCATTTTCTTATCACAGCCCAATTTATGCATTTACAGTCTAAATCTAAAATAAGTAGGCCAAATTACTAATTTATGTTCCTGCAGTTAGTGACTATTACTGTGACTGTGTCAGTTGTCATTTCTATTTAATGTTGTTTTAGGGCTGGACAATAATTCAATATCGATATGTCGCAATGTACTTGTATTCAATAACGGTGATACTAGTTTTAAGCACAGTTTTGATATTTCGATAGGATTACAGCGTTTCACTGACGCATTTCTTTTTCTGTTTTGATTGAAGCGGCCGCTTCAATTTCAACCTGAACAGAAAAAGCTGCGACACAACTACGTAAGTGCGTGGTGACGTAGATGTTCCGCAGAGCTCGGATCCAGAAGGCGTTAGCGGTAGCAGGCTAGGCTAGGCTAATCTCCAACGGGCGTTAAGTTTTTGCTTCAAAATGAGTGCCCATGACCGTCAGAATGTGACTGAACAAGCGAAGATAAAGCAGATGACATAACTGATAAGAGAGGAAAGACTAATTTGGTGGTGTGGAAGTGGTTCGGCTTTCTAAGATCCAATAAACTGCAGGTTTCAGTCAGAGTGCTGCAAAATGTGACGGAGCGTCGTTCCAACTAGCGGTGGGAACACATTTAACTTGTTCCACTTGATAGAATATGCTGAGAGTCAGAAGATGAAGCACAATAAAAGTTTGAGCCAACGTGTCCCTGAAACAACACCCCCAGCTGTATCAAAAGAGAAACCCATGCAGCAAACGTTTAGGTTATGTTGTTGTTTAAAGTTAAAACTATTAATATTGACAAAGTTGAGAATTTTGTGTTTATTTGACAGTGACTTAAAAAAAATGTTTGAAGGCTAATTACAACTAAAAGGTGAACATGAATTTATTTGTACAGTTTGTACAGTTTTTCTGAGGCTTTTCTATTCATTCATTCAACCTTTATTTAGACAGGTTGTAGACAGACATATTGTTTATATCGATATTGAATTGTATCGTTATCGACTGAAATTAAGAAATATATCGTGATAAAAGTTTTGGCCAAATCGTCCGACCCTATGTTGTTTACATGACTCTCATGTCTGATCAGTCTTAGGGTGTTGGTCACGTCTTCTTTGTGTGCAACCATCCTCATATCCAGCACTTTTTCTGGATAAATATCACAGTAAGCTGCTGAGATCTGGGTATGAATCATATCACCAAGGGCAAACCATTGATTGGTTATTAGATAATTTACTTACCGTGTGGCCTTTAGTGTTCATAAACTTTGAGTTGTCTCTCAGGGTCAGTCAGACTGAAGAAGTTTCCGTCAATGTCCATTGGTGGTGTTATGTTAAACAGCTCTGTAAAGTTGGAGTTTGGGTATATATGCAAGCAAATAGGTGCATCGTTAAAGTAACCACTCAAGGAATGTGTTTTTGTTAGTTTTATACAAAAAGAGTGATCCTCTATACATATAGACATTATCATAACAAATTTGCAGACATGCCCCCTGCTGTGTTTTGCTGTTCAGACAAGAAATCCCCAGTGGGTCTGCCCGTGTTAGAATCACTCCCCCCACCGTCACAAAAATGGCCCACCAGCCTGTTTGCCAGGCTGTCTGCCTGTCTGTGTTGGTGTCATTGAGACGTGCTTGGTACTTCCAGTCTCTCTTATTTGTCTCAATGTACAATGACCCATCATTATTGCCATGTCAAGGAGATGGAGGCAACCAATCATATCTGGCCCAGAGGGAACGCTCACAACCAACCAGATCTGGAATCCCCATAGTAACTTGTGCTTCAAAGCCCCGGCACAGCCAATAGGAACAGGCAGTGGCACTTAGCTATTAGAGTTTAATGGCCTGTTTCTGTTGTCATTAATAAAACGGTGTAACCTTTGACAAAGAGACTTTTTTATATTTTTAGTGAACAGCACATTCCCACAGCATAAAGACACCCTGAAAGAGCATAATACTAAGATGGGTGCACACTGATGTCTGTGGATATTTATCTGTCCGTTCACTTTACAGATCAAAAATTGTACTTAAGCCATTTGTCAGCAGAACATGTTTTACCCTTCATAGTCTCCTCTGACTCTCAGGCCAATGTACCACTACTTTGACTTCATCCATTTCAGCACTGACACTACCATTAGCATAAAGTAGGTCATTCCAGGCCAGAAGGAAGCCAGACTCAAGTTTGCATGGTCACTACCATTCCTATTACTTTAGACCGCTTCTGCCAGGCTGTGCCATTCTGCTTGCTTCTAAATTATGTTGTTCTCTACTCTGTTCCCTCCTTATGTAATGGCTGAGCAGCGAGCGTTGTGTGTCATAGCCGTTTCCATGGTAAGAGTAGCCTAGAATGTATCACAACACAGCATGCACCAACCTTGGTTCTTCTGCTGGGGATGACTTACAGTTTCTCTTCCAAGGTCTCCATTGGTTATTATGGATTAGTCCTTCTCTTCTTTTTTTTTTTTTTACAACCCTCTAAAAGCAAAATGATTTTATATAAAGCATATGATGCTTTAACCAACGAGGTTTGTTATGAAACAAGGCTTTGCAGCAGTTGCAGTTTTATATATTTAAACCAGAGTCCATTAGCTGCCATCAGATTTTCAGAAGATGGCAGTAATTAATAAGACATTACTGTACTTTGATCAATAATTCATGTTCTTTAGTTAGTGCAGTAAAGTTCAGCATGTGGTGAATTTTAGGGCAAAGAGAGGAGCAGAATCAAAACCATGTTTGCACGTCGTAAGAGTCAAACACACCAAATGCACTGTAAGGTGTTTTTTCTATCTATAAAAAAGTTCAGCTAATTTTACATTTTAGTGTACAGTAGTCCCTCATTTATCGCTTGGGATCTGTACCCTGAATACCCACGATAAGTGAAAAACCACTAAGTAGGCATAGTGGTACAAGTAGTAGTTTATTTATTTATATATATATATATATATATATATATATATATATATATATATAGATAAGGCATTTTAAACCCTTCCAACACTGTTGCAATATTCTAAACAATGTTTCTAAACACTCTAAAAGAGCACAGAATGTCATGATTTCAGCTCCCTACCTCATCTGCTCTCAGCCACCTAGCGATCTTGGCCACGCCCACTTCTCCACTATGCACAGTGAACAGCTGATCAGCTGCAGCAGGAAGTTTATTGTGCAGCTCTGGGCTGCGCAAAGGTGCAGAAGGTGCTTAATAATTCAAAATAATTTTATTGTAGATAAAAATTTCATGCAGATCTTGCGGCTCATGCATAAATCAGCCACTTGTGTGTCATGCCCAATCTTATTTTGAAAAACCGCGATGGAGCGAGTCCACGAAAAATGAACCGCGAAGTACTGAGGGACTACTGTACTTGTTCTTCCTGTGGCAGATTAATTGACATAACATTTACCATATAAAGAAAATCTAAAGTTGTTTAAAAAATGTTGTTAATAAAAGATTTTGAGAAACTTTACAACATTTTGGTGCACAACTTGTTTTAGTTTCTGATTTAAAATTTCATAAAAGCTGGGAGTAAAAAGCATTATTCTGTTATCACATTGCAGGATAATGCTAAAATAAACTATTATTTTAATCTAAATAAATAAACCCACTGTACTGTACTTCATTTCTGTAACATTGTTCTTCTCTTAGCTGTCTCTCTGCCATGTTTACTCTCTTATCCTGCTTCAATTATTCAGCTCCCCCCGGATTCCAGAGAGACTTCTGTTACATATTAGATACATGCGTATCTCTGCAGGCACCCACTTTGCAGACACTAATAAAGCAATGCCTCTTACTGGAAAAATCAAGTAGTTAATATCACAATTTTCCTTTCAGTGTTGAACTAATCTTCAAAATTGTATCTGCTTATTATTTAGACCTCAAACCCTGATTCATAAATATTTACAACCCTTCTATCCCAGTGAAAGTGAAGAAAGTTGATAGCAGAACACATTTTCATCTAGAATAAAGGAAGTACAAGTGTGAATGGGATTGAAGGATTTTTAAAAAAACATTTTTTAAAGCTGACACATTCCTCAGTTTGCCACCTCAAATAGTAAACCACGAAACAATGATTTTTATTTAGTATAATACTATGATTATCAAACAAACCACAAGTTGTGACTCTTTAAGTGACCTGAACAAACCAGAACAGGTGAGTTGTGCTCAGGCAGTAACACACGTGCTGTTATTGTGAAATCACTCTGCCCTTAATGTGGGCTGGCTTCGCTTGGTTTTGTGTAACGAGTGTGTATTTTCCTCAGTACATGCTGGAGTGCACAGTCTGCTGCTGTGGGCAAAGCGCCGTGCTCTCATTTCGGTGTCTCTGGGGAAAACTGTGTCATCAGAGAGAAATGATTGAATCTCTACCTCTGCTCCATTTTCACTCATTTTCTCTTGGAGTGGACAAACTTGTGTGTGCCCAGCACAGACGTTTGTGTGGTAAATGCAGATGTCCATATGTGCACACAATCGAGCCTGATTTATCTTTCTACAAAATGTAGTCGCCAAGATTTTTGGCTCTTCATTTAGAAGCTAAAAGTTTTGTTTTTACATGTAAAAACTGTGCTTTCCGTTTGTCCAGAAGCTGATATGCATTGACGATGAGTGGAGTTGGAGAAAACTCATCTGACCCTGCAAGGGCAGAGTCACGAAAACGCAAAGAATGTTTGGCCGAGCCAAAAGGACCCAGGTGAGCCATCGTCCTAAGGACCACAGTTACCTTTTTTTGTTACCTGGCCCCCTGTTTTAAGAAAATGTCAGATTCAAACACATTTTTCATCTCGTTTATTGTGCCATGACAAAATAAGTTGCAACACTGTGTTCAAGTGACATTTCACCCTAGAATGGGTTCTTCGGGCGAACCCAGATGTAACATAATAGTGGTTCCAAACCAAGGTCCTTGAGGAACACCATACTGTTATGTTTTAGTTGTTTTCTTGTGCCAACACACTCGATTCAGTGATTTAATTACTTCCTCGTGTTCTGCAGAAGCCTGTTAATCACCCATTCATTTAAATCAGGTGTGAAAGCAGGGAAACAACTAAAACCCGCAGGATGGTGTTCCTCAAGGACCAGTGTTGGGGACCATATAACGTATATAACACAAAATAAAAGCTGGTTAAAATTTGTAGCTGTGTTTTCTGTGTTGCCAGTTTGAAAGATTATCAATCCTAATGTTTGAACAGAAACTTTATTTCTGCCCATCTAAACTTTCCCTGTGTTTTTTAATTTGTTTTTAAATTTTTATATCTTCTTTACATTTTGTCTTGCTGTTTTTCGCTGCAGTCCCAAGCGGAGCAATGAAAAGCGTAACCGCGAGCACGAGAACAAATACATCGAAGAGCTCGCCGAGCTGATCTTCGCCAACTTTAATGACATCGACAACTTCAATGTCAAGCCTGACAAATGTGCAATCCTGAAGGAAACTGTGAAACAAATTCGTCAAATAAAGGAGCAAGGTACAATCGTCGTTTACATTTTCTTTTTGTAGAAGCTATATAGCTGAACAGTAAATATATGTTGCAAACAAATGGAAAGCTGTCTGCTCTAAATAAGATTTCATAAAAATCACATGAATGCTCAGTTTTTAATGGTTCGAGACATGTATCAGTTTTACCATGTCTGCACAAACTCTAGCTTGTGATGGCGGCAGTATCATGGTTTGGGATGTAGTTTGCAGATAATAATTCATCTTATTAAAATATAAGTACAGCTGATTTAACCAACAAAGTCCATGCTCAATAATCCAGGTATACAATCCAACACGTGTCATGAATCGGAGTTGTTGTTTGTTGCCAGTCTATCAGTGTTGAACCATAACTGGAAGAACAGCAGCTGGAGTGACGTGTAAAGAGACTGGCCAACGTAAGATGCACAGATCAAACCAGTTTATGACAATATGGTTTAGTCATGTTAAGCTCGTTCAAATAGTTTGAAGCAGGTTCCTGTGAAGCAATCATTACTCAGTTTAAAAGTTTTTTAATACACATGTAAGGCATAAAATACAGCGTTTGAGCATTTGGGAGACGCACACACACACACGAGACGGCATTTTCTCACAAAATGGCGCCGAGATCAGGGCTGCACAAACTTTTCTTCAAGAACTGGTCACACCTCCAGTAAGTGGTTGTCATCAACGACCTATGGGAAATCCCTCGTGTTACCAGATCTCAGCCAGTAGACCCTCACGTTCTAACAATTTGTGTTGTTGTCTGTTGAGAAAGGCAGGTGTCTAATTATAAATCTTTCCCATCAGAAACAAAAACTTCTTCAGAACAGACCCTCTGCCCAGTCGCTCTCTCTTTAACACAACAATGTTAAAATAGAAAAATGCCACATGAAAGTTATAAAAATACAAACAAAATACATCCAAAATATAAATATTATTTCTTATAATGCAGCTTTAGGCCTGATTCCCAGTCATTTTCACACCTATCAGGCATTTCAGCCATGTCACCAGAGTGGCTCCTCTGTGTCTCAGACTAGCAAAGACCCTAACGAACCCCTATTGCGAGTAGTGATAGGACAGTCTGCATATGTATTTAGCTTAGCTCAGCTTTATAACTCAAAAGCTCCTCGGGTGAGAAGCGAAACGTCTTGTTACAAATAGTCATCATTTTTGTCTTTTGAAAATGCATCCAAGTAAGATAAAATATATTTCAATCAGTTGTTATGCAAAGGTGGACAATAAGATGCAAACATCCTGTTTAGGTTACTATCAACTTGTTCTTAATTTCACCATCATATCCTCTTCCTTCCCCTTTGCAGCCCCTACCTTCCCCCAATGACAACATTGTTTACACAATGCAATAAAGAAGGGATACATCCTTTTTAGTTGTATAAATGCTGAACATCATGCACTACACTGATGCTTCGGGTTCTCTTTATTGCATCTCATCTATTAAGTATGAGGTATAAAAGTTTTGTAGGATGTTAGTGGTGCATCTTTTTCCTGCAGCCCATCTAATTATTGTTTAAAGGAAAACCTCAACACTGAATCAGCCATGCATATTTGGTTTGTAGTTCCATTTATCTATGGAGATATTTCTGCTGCAAGTTGCTGTGGTTTGCAGATATCCTTATCAGGTCGACCAAAGACAAAGTTATGTTTACATTCATATGCACTTCTAGAAGCACATGCTCGTCAGGAGAAGAACAGGGTGTCCACACATCCTTAAAAAGTCTTAAATCCAAGGATCTAACATCAAGGCCTTAAAATGTCTTAAATATGCTGCGCTAAGGCCTTAAAATTTGTCAGGTCAGGAGGGATTAACGTTCTCTGGAAAAAATGAGGATGGGGGAAAATGTGTTTAAAGCCATTCAGTCCAATGGGGATTAAACTGACCAATAAAGAAAACCAGAGACCTTTCACCAATCAGGGCAGAGCAGGGTGGGTCATGCTGTTGGGGTGTTGATGATGCTGTCGGACAAAAGTTTAACCTTGAGTTCTGCGCAGACTTCTTCCTTGCGTTTTTTTTAATTTTTTCTACAGTCTATGGTTCAAACCGACTGACTCGAGTAGATTGAGGCTTTTTTTTAACTAGCTGCTGTTATATACGCTTGCTAGCTATTCTGTGACTAAATCATGTAGGTGCAAATGCGTAGACATTTGGCTGCTGGACATTGTCGTTGTGTATGAAGGCAAACTGGAGATTAAGACACGAGCCACATGAATGTATTCAGTAATGTATTTTTGTTGTTGTTGGATGTTTCCAACCAAATACCTGCACTTGTACGTACAGCTATTGAACCAGAGAGCACTGAATATCACTTTGTGTTCAATAAAAAGACAAAATCTAAACTTGAATGTGTCTCGTTGAGTGACACATATGCTCTGTTGTAACGCAGCAGGATCCTCCAACCATCGTCTATATTTATAGTTTTTTAATGTTAAATTTCATTCAAGGTGGCATTAAAAAGGTTTTAAAAACTCTTAAATATGACACAGAAACCTGCAAATACCCTGTACACACTGGGCACACACTGGACCTCACTTTTTTAAAAGCTCTCCTGACTTTATACTAACATTACTGAAAAAATAAAATTACATTTTTGTCATTTAATGTCTCCCACAGATTTGTGTTGCCGTCTCCGTTCAAAGTAGTTTGTGACGACAGTTGCTATTGAAAACTTATTTTTATACTTTTATAAATTTTTACTGCTTGTTCTGTGAACACATTTTCATAGTAAATAAACAGTTAAATGCCTAAATACATGTTATTCTCATTTGCAGGCAGAATGTAGGTTTGTAATTTTTAGGAGCATTTAAACCAGAGAAGTATAAAAGTATCTGTAAGTACACAATCCAGTGCAGAAATCTGCTGTAACTGAGCTCCATGTGATAACATCAGCATCTTTAAGTTGTTTTTTTCACCCCATAATGTTCATTGTCTTATAATAAGCTTTGTGCATTGAGAATTAGTTAATCACTGTGAGAGAACAATAAAAAGCCAAACCACTGGAAGCTAGGTTATTAACTTTAAATCAAGCTAACAATATTAGCATCAATGAGCTGAGCTGATATCCACTGCTATAAAGTTAGTTTTTATGGAAGATGGTGTTTACCTCAATTTTAATGACTCATTTTAGTTTTTTGTTTTTTTTTATCTAAAAAAGAAAACACTTTACTATTGAGCATTTTCACAATTTTAAACAAATTTTTTTAACCGATTACATCATTGTAGAATGAAGTACAGTCACAATAACAACAATCTCCATGAAAAACGGTGGACAATTAACAGCTAATATGAAGAAAATACAACCGTACCGATCCATCCATTATATTTACCTCCTCCTTTCTTTCCGGTTTGCACTGGTTTAAAAAAAAAAAGAACAGTAAATGTTATTTACTTACAGCAGCAGAAATATGAATTATCAGAAAAAATGACTAAACTAACACCAACCCCCTGTCTGCCTAAAAATCCTTTGCCTTTAAGCTTTTTTTTTTTTTTTTTTTTTTAATGGTTTTTGCTTTAAAGTAACGACACTGTCAATAGTTAGCCAGCGTTTTACACTGTTCTAACATAAAGAGCAACTACTGGTACCATCTCTTTACTTAAACTGGTGGTTGAGCTACAGCAGCTACACTGAGGCTAGTACTGTTGAGTATATTACTTTGATCTTTATTATTTACTTGGTGTAAAATACACTACGAATCAACTATTGAATTTAGGAGTGCGGAAATCCTATATGGCAAATGTCTTGCCAGATGCATACTGTGTAGCTGTTAATATGTTACACAATCCTTGTAATTGATCGATTGCTCCCCTGATCTGTGGCAGAATGCCACGGTTCTGCAGTGAGACAGAATGCCAGCGAAGGCAGCCATGACGCTGACTGATGGGTCTGTACTCGGGGCAGCTGTGTTGGTCTACAGGGCCCTGTTGGGCTGCGAGAGGACCTGCTGATACACATATCATTAACGCTGAAAGAGATGAATATTTGTCTGTGAGCTGTTGCACAAGCTCTCTGAGCAGAGGGAAACCTGCATTTGTCTACTTTCACACATCTATACCCGTTAAAAAGGAAGCACAAAATTCTGTTTGCTTTTCTCCAATGTTTTTTTTCACCATATGGTCAGCCCTCTACTTGGCATGGTGTGTCCGTTAAATGTGTCCCCCCCCCTCCCGACAGCCCACTCGTATTCTGCCTCTCATCTTGGGCTGAGAAAAGTAGGGCAGCCTACGCTCTAAACATACGGCCTCTCCGCATGTTTATTAACCCAGTCACGTGAATGAAAGCATAGCACCTTAATGTAGGTTCAGAATCGTGGAGAAAACTGCTCTTGTTCACCTCACGTTATTATTTTGTCGATAAATATCATTGTTTTACGTTACTCATTTAACATCAAATGAATTATAAGGGAGGAAATGAAGTGCCTTGTGTTTCCTAAAATAATTTAAATGTCAAGTCAAAATGTTTTATCGTCCTAAACTGGAAATTATGACCATAACGACATAATTTTAGTCAGATTTTTAATGCATACTTTGATGCTAATATTCTTTGTACAAACACAATAAGTGTTTATAGTTCTTATGCATGCATTTATTTATTTATATATTTTAGCTTTTTTCCATTTTGTTCCCATTTATTTAAGTTGTTTACGCATTGTCTATGTTCCATATAAGATTTTTTATTGTTTTATTAGAATCATGGAGACCAGTGAGGCAGTTGTGCTTTGACCGGCTCATTTACAACAACCTTTGACTGTTCACTGCCCTGTGCTTGAGAAAGCCACAGCTACTTTTACTTTTGTTACCAGGGGTCCACTTGTTAAAATGACTGTAAACCAATGATCGCTTTAAAGTACGAGTTTATTTCAGGAGAAAATCAGTCTATGGCCTCTTGTGAAATGTATGTTTTGTGTAAAAGCTGTTGTGATCTTATTGAATGTGATCCCTTGTTTAGATTCTGGTATGAAGATTTTTTTTATGTTTGCTGTCTTGGTAACAGAAAAGGCTGCAGCAGCAAACGAGGAGGAGGTACAGAAGGCTGATGTCTCATCGACAGGCCAAAGCGTCATTGATAAAGATGCTTTGGGACCAATGATGCTGGAGGTGGGTGGAGTGGCTTTACTTTTCTTAATTTCTAGTGTCGTGTATGTCTTTTAAGGTGCAATACGGACCGAAGTGCTCCACTCTGAACACTCACAAAGCATAATCTCTCTGCTTTAAATCATGACTGATACATAATGAAGAGTGCCATCCACAGAGAACAATCACAAATGTGCCAGTAGTGGTTATGTGTGGGGAGGAAAAGCTGCCAGCATCTTGTATCTGCCCCCGATTGGCTGTAAATCACCAAGCAGAGCAATGGTCTCGTTGTACCAAGAAGGACCACTGAAGCGCTTGCATATAATGGGAAAGAAAGCAACAGCACCGCAAGTGAATCAGTCCATTGAGCCTGTCCTCCCACCCATTTCCTCCCTCCCCCGTTTTCCCCTCCCTCCTACTTGTTCAGATCTCATTCCCTCCCCATCTTCTCTCCGTTCGCCTCTAGATCTGTCCTGTCATGGAATATTTATAGCACTCCTGGTCCAGCGTCACTGAATCGACATACTAACTTGCGGCTAAATATAGACCAGTGCAGCCTGCGAGCTTTCCCATCTGTCAGCAGCCCCAAAACACCAACAGCGATAGGCCATTCACACCCGCTCCTCTCTGGCCGTTTCCCCGTCCGCAAGCCCGGACTCATTACTGCCTGCTCTAAGGAGAACGGCTGTTGGCAGGAAACGCATCATGACCCTCCTCTGAGGCTTATTGCTGCCCAATCTCATGCAAAACAGAAAGACGATGACGGCTGTGAGGAAACATTACTGTGATATTGTTTCAACCTTCTGGAATCAGTCTTGTTCTATTACTTGACCGGTTGTACATATAGTTTGCATTCTTGGTAGATTGTTCCGTATGGTTCAAGTTGTTTTCAAAACAGTGGGCCAGTTTAGTGTCAAAACATCTAGACAGCAGCAACTAGACATTCAATAACTGTCTTAACTAGTGAAAAAGTAAGCAGGGGGTCGACATGAGTGGTTTCCGTTTGTCCGAGACAACCTAGTTTTGTCTCGGACAACCAGGTCTTGTCTTGAGGATGTTTTTTAATTGTCCGAATTGGGCGAGACTGTCCCGGATTTTGCCCACCCTATCCCACCCCCCACACGAGGAGGTGCGGGACAGCTAAATGTCCGGCATTTGACGAGCTGTCTGAGCTCACCTGTTCATGTCATGTCTGTGTGGGAGGAGGAATATATAGGGGCTGTTTCACGGGCTTCCTGCAACAGCAGGAATAATAATAATGTCGTAATAAGCCTAAACTGACCGTAAAGTGCATGAAGTTCAGAAACCCATGGAATTTTTCTGATCGCACAAACTATCGCAAAGTTACAGTAATGCAAAGTGAGCTTGTAAAAAATAAACATCAGCAACGCACTTGGAATAAAAGATTAACATTTTGTTGTTAACGTTCAGGTATGTTTACTAATTGATTCAGCCATCAACTATAATTTATTAGGTTGAAAATCTTTGCTTGTATAAAAAAAATGATGTTTGTGTGCACGTTCTTGCATTGGTGGGTAATTTAAATATCTAAAGGTCTAAAAGTTTACTGTACAAAAGGTGGGGTGCTTGGGTAACTAGGTGTAGGAAAAAATTCAGTCAAAAGATTTTTTTCTGCTTTAATCGCTGAGCCTTAAATATGCTGCGGGTGCTTCTTGCAAAGTCTGATGACAAGGAAGAGGATGAAGAGGACCATGAGGAAGTTCCACTGGAGCAGCTCCTGAAAGAGTCTGACACTCGGTATTTTGGAAATTCCATGCGGTGCACATATACTTATTAAATTACATTTTTCTTTCGATCTGTTGCCTTCTTTATTGTGAAGGTTGCAGACAACCACAGATTTTGGCGACAACCTGATTCTGTTAAGAGGTTGTCCGCTGGGCAACCTGGAAAATTTCCTTATGTCAACCCCTGGTATGAATTTTACCAAATATGTAATGGCATGTAATGCTTAGTGGTTTCTACAAATTGATGTCAATAAGTACCATGCTGTGGCACCATCGTCTGTTCATCTCAGCTGGAAGGTAATCAATATAGTCATATTAAAACAAAGATGAATTGAAACAGTACAAAGAATACTTATTTGGAATATCATGGTTTGTATTATCTTTACTCAGTTCTCCAGTGTATCTTTAGTGAGTGCAATGTAAATGAAAGTATTGGCTAACACCATTGTGCAATATTGTCTGGAGGAGGCTAAGAGTTGGCACTCTTAAGTGTTTGTTCTGTCCAGTCCAGGTCCTTTCCTCACACAGGATGGACTTGCACAACCACGCTTCATTTTGGAACAGCTCCAGTGAATGCACTAATAGATGAGACGTCTTTAAGATTGGGAAAACCTAATCTTGGATGGGATGTAAGAGTCTACGAAACGTGCAAATTTTAGTCTGGCGCTTAACTGCAGGCTTGCCGTACAGTTCAGTTTTGAAGACAATCGTACAGTTCTGTACAAGGCACTGTGTCAGAGATGACAAACCTGGAAGTTCAGTGATTTAAGTCTGCAAAAAATATTGAAAATGTATCATTATTGCAATTATCAATGTGTACAGCATCCATATTTTAACATTCAATTCAACCTTTATTTATTAAGGTTAGTCTCATTGAGCCTCGGACTTATTTGCAAGAGAGATTTGTTTTAGACAAAGAACACAGATGACAACAGTAGACACTCCTAAAAAAAGTGTATAAAATGAAAAGTAAATGTAAGAAATGATAAAAAAAACTAAACAAAAACAGTTACATTATAAAGCAATGTAAAATACTAAAAACAGGAACATGTCTGTGTTGGTTTTTGCCATTAATTTAGCAGTTGTTTAAAGTCCCGTAGAGAGGTCGTGGTTGAGAACTTAAGCTCTTTTTGTAAGGTGTTCCAGGAAACATGAACGAAGTAGAAGGCCCTTTTGTCTAGTTCAGTCTTAACTGAGGGTACACTGCATGTAATTGTGTCCTGAGAGTGCACGTTGTAGCTGCACTCACACAGAGACATGTAGACGGAGATGTATGAAGACAACAGACCAAGGAGTGATTTAAATGTGAAAATGTACCAGTGAGAGAGTCTGTGTGAAGTTGCTGACCAGTTAACCAGTGAATACAGGGTGCAGTGATGAGTACGGTAGTTACAGCCAGTTATGAATCTTGGCGCACCATGAAAGGCAGTGTCCAACATCTGCAGGATGCTTGCAGGAGCATTCATGTAAATAATGTCACCATAGTCAATGGAGGGAAGGAAAGTAGTCGTTACAAGGTGTTTTCTAGCATTCAGAGTTAGCCAGGATCTATTTCTAAAAAAGAAACAGTTTTACATTCAGTTTCTTTACCAAGTTTTCGACATGAGGCTTAAAAGAGATGTGAATCGACCAAGATGCCCAAGTATTTATAAGAATCGACAAACTCAATAGGAACGCCATTCGAAAATAAAATAGAAGGAAGAACTGCTGAGACCGACTTCCAGTTTGAAAACAACATCCCTTTGGTTTTGTCAGCGTTTAGCACAAGTTTGAGACGGAACAAATCTGACTGGATGATGTCTAAAGCAGACTGTAAAAGCTGGAAAACCTTAGCAACTTTTCTAGCTCGACAATAAACAACTGTGTCATTGGCATAGAAATGCAAGGATGCATCAGGAACCATCTGACCTACATTACTTATGAAGATTGTGAAGAGGGTGGGTCCTAAGACTGAACCTTGTGGTACACCGTTGTTAACAGTTAAGATAGCTGTAAGAAGTACTGTTGTGTTTAACACATTGGCTCCCATCTGAGAGATAATTTGAGAACCACCCAATGGAATAGACTAGAACCAATCACACTGCAATACATGTTATCATAGGCTGTTTTATTCAAAGTGTTATACAGGCATACTTTTTATCTTTATAATATATTCATATTAGGTTTTGTGAGAATTGTGGTGGCTGAACAGAAGTAGATGAGGGAATTAACTGTGGATTAATTACAATTAATGACATTGCAATATGTTACTAGTAATTTAGTAATTTTTTTATATATAATGCAGCTCCTATTGTAATTAACACTTAAGGTGGTACAAATTGACAAATGTATGTACGTAGCTTTGAAGTCGAATTGATTTGTACAAAGTTTAGGAGCAAACATCTTGAGAACCATCTCTTGTGCTTTATCTCCACAAGCAGCTTTCACTGCTTTGGAAGCACCAGCATTTTTCTTTAAGGGCTGTGAGTGATTGAATGACCTAATTGACACCATCTTGTGTGTAATGGCTGACCCGGGGCTGTATTCTTTCAATTAAGTGCTGCTCCTCCTTCACATCCTCCAATCTCTGCTGGCACATCCCTTTATCCTGAATTGTATCAGCGTTGCACTGATAATGAGCCTTCCAGGAGTGGTACATGTCCCCAACACTACTAACGTACTAATTGTCTCCTTGTAATATGGCACATATTACACAGCTGCTGAAACTCCTATCCGTTTTTCATTAGCGCATGCATATTTTCCCAAGATCTAAAGCTTTTTCATTCCTTGAAGGAATACATATCGTCCGCCGCCTTTCATGCCAGAGTTTTGAACTAAGAATATCTTATGATAAGACGTTGTAACTGTTTTGTTCAAACCTGTCATGTGAGATCTCACAAGGTGTGTTGGCTCTTGCACTATGTATGTGTTGAGGATGACTTCTAGCTATTACTACACCAAGTTTTAGGGTAAAATCTCTAAATTATTTGAGGAGAACTGGTCCTGTGAAATGGATTTATCAGAGTTAAAGTTTTATTCCATGTCTAAATAAACTTCGTAAATAGATTTTTTTTTTTCTTGTCTAAATGCTGTTTTCTCTCCACAGGCTCTTGATGGTTTCTTCTTTGTAGTGAACATGGAGGGGAACATCGTGTTTGTGTCTGAGAATGTGACCCAGTACCTGCGCTACAACCAGGAGGAGCTGATGAACACCAGCGTGTACAGCGTGCTGCATGTCGGAGATCACGCCGAGTTCATCAAGAACCTGCTGCCTAAATCCCTCGGTTAGCCTGGAGCTTTGAACATTTCCTGTGCTTGGTTTTTTATTTATTTTTTTAAGTATTATACCTGTTTCTGTCTCGCTGTGCCACTTGAGCTTCATCTCTCTATCTTTGCATAACTTTTATGCTTCCTTGATTATCGTTATTTGCACGAATGTTGTCATTTTAATTGAAATATGTGTGCTTAAATTTCTGCGTTGAAACGCTGACAAATAGAAAGACTTGGCAGTGATCATAAAACCTACAGCTTCTTCTTTTACTTTTGCTGATGCTCAACCCAGACTTTTATTCTCACTCGTCCCCTCATTCTTTCTCCCTTTTCAGCTAATTAACTTCCTTTTTTTAGGCTTCTCTCCCCTGTCAGCAGCATCTTGCTCTTCCTATATTCTCATTTCATGCCCTTCCTTCCTCTTCTCTTCACATATTTTTCTCATTCTCTTTCACACACCCTCATTTAGTTCCTATTTTCATATTCTCACTTTCCCGTCCTCTAGCCCACCCTTGAAAATCATGCTTTGTGCTACCCTTAGTCATGTATTGATATCTGCAGAATCATGTCTATGATTTAATTTGCCAAATTTTTAGTTTTACTTTTACAAGTCCTCCACCTTTTACACGTTCTAGTTATGATGTTTGTGCCCACCAGGTGCTGTAAGTCCTCCTGTCCTTCTCTGTTGTTGCTCTGGATTGAGGTCTGGGTACTCAGCCATCTGGGTGGGAGAGCAGCACTGAGCCGAGTACCCTGGAAATGATCACTGGGCTGTGTCCCAGATACTGGGAGATTATCAATGCACTGAATGAGATCACAAACCAGATGGAGTGCGATTGGAGTTTGCTAGAATTAAATGAGTTTGACTGTACACGTCTTTTTCTTGTGTGTGTGTGTGGATGTGTGTTTCTCGCGCCTGGGCAAGTGTTGGAGAAGAAGAAAGATTGGCAATGACGTTCTAGAGGACATGCATATGGACGCCTGGCTGTGAGACATTTCTGTGGATAGATGGCTCAGGGTTCCAAATGCTCATTACGACTGATCTCTACCCAGCAACAGCTCGCCTCTTTTTGCACTTCCTCTGCCGTCGTCCTCCGCCTCGCTCTGTCTCATTATGTCTTTCACTTGCAGTACGATGGCCTTTCTTGGCTCGCTCTTTGCAGACTCTCGTGTTCTTGCTGTTCAGTTTTAGTCAGAGAATTTTGTCGAACGAAACGTCGGGAGGCCGAGTCTTAAACCACCTTCTTTGTCGCGCTCCCTGCAGTGAATGGCGTCCCGTGGTCCAGCGAGAGTCCGAGGAGGAACAGTCACACGTTCAACTGCAGGATGCTCGTCAATCCGCACAGCGAGAACCAAGACGAGGCGCACGAGCATGAGCCCCAGCAGCAGAAATATGAGACCATGCAGTGTTTTGCTGTTTCGGAACCCAAGTCCATCAAGGAGGAAGGAGATGGTATGGAGGGGTGGGTGGGGGGGGATAGAAAGAGTTGGAGGATCAGTTGACACTGAAGTAGTGACCTTATGAAATAACCTTTAGAAGTACTTCTCAAATTTATAGAATTACTCTGAGCTGCTAGGATGCATTTTTATTTTTTACAGATTTACCCATTGTGCAAAAGTTTTAAAGCAGATTTTAAATCTTTACATATTTGTTTTAAAAAGCTTAACTTTATTATCCTATCTGGAACGATCGTGATTAGTGGTTTTTCAGGGTTTTCTAAGATTTTTTTTTTTTTTTAAAGAATTTTTGCTGCTTTATTTCTTTATCATCATTTATCAATACAGTATTTGACTTTTGGAATTAAATGTTTTTTGTGACGCTGCTAAACTCTGACCTGTGAGTCATTCAGGCATCACAAGCCTCCTAATGTCAAAGAATTAACAAACAACTTTAAATTTAGTATGTTTCTTTTTCCAGTGACATCATTGGACTTTTCCTTTCTTTTGTTGCTTTATTATCAACCTGTCGCAAAAATGCTCTTTTTTTTTTTTAGTATTGCTAGTATTTTAGCATCAGAAGGGGGATTTCCAAAACACTGTTGGCTAAAAACCTGACGTACAGTAGATGATCAGCTGAAATATCAAGTTCAAGTTGGTTTTATTGTCATTTCACCACATGAGGTGGAACAAAATTGTGTACAAAGGGTCCCAGTTACATCCAACAATAGGAAAAATATAACGATGATGCATCTTTCAGGTCCTGTGTCAGGTCTATATCTCATAAAACCGATGCTTGGCTTTGCTGTTGATTATTTATTTATTTATTTGTAGGTCTGGCTTTTCTTTATCCCCCCACTTTTCCATTTTTGTCGTGTATTTTTTTGAAGCACTAATTAAACAGTCAGGGTTGATAACATGGACTGGACAAAACAAAATGAATGGAAAAAGCAGCCAAAGTTCAAATGAAATCTTTGAAAGACCTTTAAACACTTTGAGGAACTATCGATCAAGACCAATGTACATTTTGTTCCCAAAAGGTATTATATTATATTCTAAACTTATAATAGACTTAAACCAGTTAAGTTTCTATTGAGTCATTTAGGGGTGAATGAGTGGTTTTTGTATTTCATTTTAACCCCACAATCAAAGTGAAACAGTCAATTTCACTGCATGTTGAAATGTTGCTTTATTCTTGTTGTTAATTAATTTTATGTCCATTCTGCTTTCTCTGCCTTTAATGTGATTATAGCAGACGTGCTGTCTCTGTCACTGCATTTGTTTCTTTGTATTTATATTAGTGTTTGCTAACAAACTGGGTTAACCCACAAAGTTGGGCTACACAAACTATAGTTTCTTTTCAAGTCACATTAACAAAACAAAATGAGTTCCTTTACGAATCCTTTGTCTTGTCATCAGAAGTTTGTAACTTAAGTTTTTGGAAGAGTCTTAAGAATTATTCGTAGGCCTGTCACGATAAACGATAAATCAATTAATCGTATGATAAATGAAAAATATCTACCTCATTTTCTTTTATCGGCTTTATCGTTTATTCTCTTCTTTTCTTCTCTTTTCGCTAAAAGCAGCTAAGCTACGAGCTAAGCTAACAGGCCAACCTCGGGGGAAAAAACTCTGTCTTGTCGAAACTCCAAAATTCACGGTTGAAACCAGTGCCTTCATCTGAAAAGTTGTTTATCTCTGCAAAAAGAAGCTGAGAACTTGTTTACTGATGTTTTTAATTAAAATATTTGTTTGAAAAATGCTATGCTAAAGAGCTCAAACCACACTGAGCATCCGCCATTTTGAGAACCGAAAACAAGGAAGGAGTGACAGCCCATGTCACATCAAGGGGCCTCCCTCCCATTTTTCTTAGAGACACGCTGCTCGCTCCCTCCCTCACTATCCATCCTTCGGTTCAAACAGCCTTATACTGCCATCAGGAGGTCAAAAAAAGTACTATATGCAAAATAAATGAACATTTCTTCTTAAATTTGACAATAATTACTAATTATTGTCAAATTTCAAACAATATAATTGTTTATCGCAATAATTTCTGAGACAATTAATCGCCCAGCAAAATTTGTTATCGTGACAGACCTAATAATTCATGTTGATAATAGTTAAAGAGGCCATGCAAGAGCTGGTTGTCTACAGACTGAGCAGGTAGCCTACACTGAAACCTGCACCTTTTGGATGACGGAGCGTTGTTTTAACTTTCTTCTCTCTACACACACTGACACATGAACACAACGTTTGCACCAGCATGGTGTCTCATGGGGTACTACATGACAACTGAAGACGAAAAAGTAGATGTACTTGCCCAAAATAGTCTCCATTTTTATAAATAAAAAAAAAAGACGCAATTATTTGTGGCTTTTCAAGAAATAAAACGCCAAAAATGATCTGTAAACATTAAAGATGGCTTGGAAATTGGTAAAAATGGTATTCAGACAGGTTTTCTTGGCTGGCATGTAATTTGTTAAAAGACAGCTTGTGTGTTATATTTATTTATTTGCTATAAACTGCATGCATGTTGTGGCAAAAGTAAACACGATCAATTTAAGTTCAAAGTTAGATATTGTTTTTATGATAATTTAATCTTATTTTGAAGAGGGTCATCTTGACAGGGATTTTTAACTCATTAGACCACAAAACTTATTTTTCCAAGTCTAGTATCTATTTTAATGTGCCTGATGACATCATGTTAACGGGAGCAAATGTGTCTATATTTCCGTTACACAACACAACTGTGCTTTCTGGTTAAAGTGAAAGTCAGTGGTAAATGAAAGCTTCAAGCTGAGTCTGAGCTAGCTGCTTCCTCTATTCACCAGCTGTTTGCCAACCAGTGTGACCTGGACCAGACGTGTGTGAGTTAGAGCAGCCAGGGACGATCAGTGGTTACATTTGTAGGAATTTGTTCAGCCACAAACAGAAACCCGAGGAGGAAGGACAAGGGAAGTGAGGAAAAATTTATTTTAACGGTCATATCACCCACGAGGTTCCGTTTACAATTCAGAACTAGATAAATTGTATTTCCTGCGAAAATGCAGTGTGGATGCTTATTGCAGAAGAACTTGCTGAAAAACCGCTGAAATTAGCTAAAAAAAAAAATGCTGAAATGTAGCTAAAATTGAATAACAAGCATACTTTAGCAGAAGAAAGCAGAAAGAAAACAAATTAGCTTAATTAGGTTTAAATAAGTGGAATTTCGCACAAAAACTAAGAAATTGGCTAAAAAATATGCTGAAATTTGAAAAGAAAACAGCTGAAAAGTAGCTGAAAAGGCAGACAGAAGCTTCAGCTACCAGAAAGAACTGAAATAAGCTAAAAAAAATTGTGGAATTAGCTGATTTTGCTGTTGATGAAAATTAGCATTAAAAGATCTAATTGCTCTTTCAGCTAGTAGCTGAAGGAGTAGAAAAGGCTGAAACTAAGAGGTCAAAAGCTAAGTTTATGGTTTTTTTCTTTCTGCTACCTTTCATTTTATTTGTGATTAATTCAAAAATGTTCAATACAGCATTTATAATATTTATTTGTATTGTATTTAATATTTATTTGTGATTGTATTTCTTATTGTATATTGAATTTTTTGTTTTTAAAAAATGAATAAACTTATAAATAAATAAATACATAAATAAAAAGCTAAAAGGAGCATAAAAAGTTAATTAGGCAGAAAATAGCTGAAATTACCACAAAAACTTGATTTTTCAGAAAACTGCTGAAATTAGCACAAAAAAAAGGCTAAAAGTGTAGCTGAAAAGGTAGAACAAGCTTAAATTAGCCAAAGAAAGCAGAAATAACTTGTTTGTTTAATTAGGTTTAAAGAAGCAGAAATGAGAACAAAAAAGTAAAAGCTGAATTTAACAAAAAAAAACAGCTTAAAAGTAGCTAAAAAATCAGAAGCTTAAATTACATTAATTACATTAAATTAAGGAAGTGGAGAGCACATTTTTCCTCAGTTAAGCTGAAAAATGTTGAAATTAGTGCAAAAAATGTGGAATTAGCTAAAAAAAAGGAAGCTAAAATTAGCATAAAAACAGCTAAATGGTAGCTGAAAACGCTGAAACTCATAAAAAATAGCTGAAAGGAGCATAATAAGTTGAAATTGGCAGAGAGAAGTTAGAAGAAGCCGAAAAATGCTGTATTTAGCAGAAAGAATCTGAAAGGATCACAGAACAGCTGAAAGTAGCTGCAAAATTTAAAAATTTGATTTTAAACATTGAATTTAATTGTTTTTAAAGTGGCAGAAAATTCTAAATATTTCAATAAGCTAAAGTTGCACCATTACCAAAAGTCATATCACCGTTCTCCTGAAAGAGCTGAACATTTTCAAATGCGATTTGTTGAAACAGTATAAAAGTTGTGGAACAAGAAAGATGCTGAAAAACGTATGGAAGAAAAATGGATCAATAGTGTGAACACTTCATAAACATTTCCACTACAAGAGATTTGTGTGCATGTCGGCGTGTGAAGCCATTAACTCCCAGGATTGTGGATATTACTGGCACAGGAAAGTAAGATGGTCATTTTTTTTGACAGTCTGAAGTTGGTCTGGAGGGAGGGGTTGTCACTGTGAAATGGCACTTTGGCTGAAACCGTATGCACACATACACACAACTCCTTAAAGGTCACACGACATCATTTCCCTTGCCAGCAATAGCTGCTCCTCATGAAAGGAGCAGAGCCTCGATCCCCATGCTCATTAATAACTGTATTAATTATGCTGCCTGGGAATAACATGCATTTCATTATCGCTCTGCCTCTATCCTTCACGCCCCCGCTCTCCCCTCTCACACCCCCTCATCTTTCCTGTCTGTCCTGTCCTCTTTGTTACCTCCTCCACCCATCCCGTCCATTTCCGATTCATTCCTCCTCTCGTCCCAAGACTTTCAGTCGTGTCTGATCTGCGTTGCTCGGAGGGTGCCCACGAAGGAAAGGCCTGCGCTTCCCACTCATGAGAGCTTCACTACACGCCAGGACCTGCAAGGTACAAAAACCACTCGGATGGCTCGGGTCTACAAATTAGTACAGCAGAGACCAAACGTGGAGAACTAAACCAATGATTTTAATTTGCACCTTCCTCTAATATTGATTTTTTTTTTTTTTTTTCCCATCACACATTTGGTTCTGGAAGTGAAACTTTGCAGCATGTTCAAAGAGTAATATAGTGACTCACTAACTCCCCAGCAGCATTTTATCCCACATCTCCTGCTCATAAATCACCTCACACTGAAGTTATATGTTTAAAATTTATTACATCCTTTAAATACCCCTAGGATTTAACCAGTTAGTTGTTCACACTTCTGTCTGCACCCTGGGAGGTAAAGTATCCATTTGATCTGCTTTCCACCTGGCCTTTGATGTACTAAAGCTGTTCGTGTAGTATGCACACCCAGGACCACATCACACAAATATACGCTTATGGTTGGTCACCGACATGTAGTCATTTCCACACAGACTCCAATATGTGTGCGTGGACGTAAGCTTGACCCTTTTCGACTGTCTTAGCCCCACATAGTTATGATAATTTTGATGCTCTGAGAACTCAGTTTCTACGAATAACATTTTTCTAAATAAAATTAAATGATTCCAAATGTATAAAAGTCATAGCCATTAATTCCCAATCGAACTGGGCAGTTTTGATCGCAGAACCAACATTCAGTAGAAAGTATAAACATGAAAACAACAGTGTGAACGCTGAATCGGCATTCATGTTCTAGCCGTGGCTTTGCAGTTTTAAGCGTGAATGGTAACGGTAATGTGCTGTAGGGAGAGATTTGTGTTTATAATGTCAGTGACAAGTCTGTCCCTGTAGCTGTCATGCAGGCAGGAGTCGTTCAGAAGCGCTATTGCTACCATTTAAATGACACGAGTCAAGTGTCTGCCTGTGTGTTGACACAAGTGTACAGGATCTATTTCTTCTAAGCTCGTGACTTTTGACAGGAAACCATCCACCTCCTGTTTGGTGTCAAAACAGTGGCTGTATTTTATCAATATTTGCCATTCTTTCCAGTTTTTATGTCTGCGTTGAAGCAACTTTACAACTTGTTTCTAATAAAATTCTATCATTTCAATGTTTGGAATACAATGAACCCATCCTTTCTGTTGAGAACATTCTTAACTTTTGTCTTTTTAGGCAAGATAACGTCCTTGGATACTAGTCTGCTAAGAGCATCGATGAAGCCGGGCTGGGAAGATCTAGTTAGGCGCTGCATCCAGAGGTTCCACCTACAAAATGATGGAGAGATGTCTTTCGCCAAGAGACACCAGCAGGAAGGTAGTGCGGTTATTAGACAACAGTTCTGTTTAATGGGTGGTAGATCAATTGCTCCTCGGCCCTAGAACTTGTTTTAAGGAACTCTGTCTACTCCCACTAACTGTTGGTTAATCAGTTGCTTTAAATATAATTTTATTTGCTTTTTGAACTGTGGGCCCTTTCTAACAAAAGCTAACTGTAACCCTTAAGCTTACAGTTTGACATCATTCACTATTCCTTTGCTGCTGTAAGTAGGATATTAGACTGACTATAAATTGATTACAAAAGTAAATTAAAAGAAAGTTTAAGTAAAACGATTTACTGACACAAGGGTCATTATTGTCTCCAGTGCTTCGCCATGGTCAAGCATTCAGTCCCATCTACCGGTTCTCGCTCTCTGACGGCACCATGGTTTCGGCCCACACCAAGAGCAAACTGATGCGTTCAAATGCCACGAACGAACCCCAACTCTACATGTCCATGCACATTCTTCAAAGGTATGTCTCACCACTTACACTTTTGTATGAAAAAGACAAATCCACAGCTTAATCTTTTCTGCATGTTTGAACCTGTTGGTGCCCTGCAGCACATCCAGACATGTTCATATGTTCTGTATTGATGGAATAATGTCTAAATTTGTGCTTTTCAGCTAGGTCAGAATCATACATAATGACAAAAAAGCTTAATTAAAATACAGAAACACAACATAAAATCATCCGCTCTATTTGGGTCTCATACTCTGCTCGAGTCAAAAGGCAAAGATGAACGATGAGTGTTAAGCAGAGAATTAAACGGCTTCAGCAGTCTTAAATTAAGACGTAGATTATTCCAAAGCAACCATTACAAAAGCCAAATTACACAATTTTTGTTTTAAATTGGAACTTCTAAGGGAAAATGGTTGGTAGATGAAAGTATTTTTATGAGTGAGGAGATGTCATAAATATGAAAGGTCAAGACTGTTGTAAACTAATAAAGAAAGTAGTAAAATCTTGAAGTTAATCCAGAAATAGACTGTAAGGCAGTGGAGAAAAGCTGGGACTGGAGTTATGTCGTCATGTTTTTTAGTACCCGCTGAAAGAAGTTTTAATTCGATTCGATTCAGTTTATTTATATAGTGCCAAGTTACAACAGAAGTTGTCTCGGGGCACATTATAAAAGTCAACTGTTAAAAGTTATTGAAACCAGCAGATTGCGTTGACTCCTCACATCATCGCCATCTCCCATCCTGAGCAAGCACAAAGGCAACAGCGGAAAGGAAAAACACCCTTTTAGCAGGAAGAAACCTCCAGCAGAAGCAGGCTCAGGACGAGCAGCCATCTGCTTCGACCGGCTGGGGGTTTGAGAGGACAGGAAGTAGAAACAGACACAGAATGACAGGTCTCTTTTACTGGAGGAAAGGCAAAAAATAACACGTAAAGACAACAGCAGAGCAGGAAATGTGGTCAATTTGTCCTACAGCAGAATTTTATTTTATTTATAAAGAATCTCATGAAGTCATCACTGCTTGTAGGTGTAGGGATACATGGCTCAACTGAGATGGGACTTTTCATTAGTCTAGCTATACTGAACAGAAACCTGGGGTTATTTTTATCTCATCTATTAAAGATGAATAATATACAGTTCTAGCTTTACAGAGGGCTTTCTTATATGTTAGCAGGCTATCTCCAAGTTAAATAAAAATATTCCTTGTTAGTGGAGTGCCATTTTCTTGACGACTTTCTAGATGCCTGTTTTAAAGAACGTAACTCAGAATTGAACCAAGGAGCCAACTTCCTCTGATTGATTACTTTCTTTTTCAGTGGAGCAGCTTTATCAAGTGAAGTTTGCAAAATAGTTGTAAAATTATCAACAAGATGATCCAAGTCACTGCTCTCTGATCTATTATTCTGTAAGACAGAGGAAAACAACAATGGAAGAGAATCTTTAGATTTGGTTACAGCATTTTCTGATTAGCACCTGCTACTTTACTCTCAGTGACTGTGTGATCAGTTAACATAAACTCAAACTTTATTAAAAATGTTTTAGTTTTTTTTATATTCCTGCCTGAAATGAATAAAGTTTTAAAACTGTTGAAACACTAATCAAATGTATGTTTGTATTTGTTCAGGGAGCAGCCGGTCTGTGGAATGGGTCAGGATGTGGGTCATGGAAATCAGGAGATGGGGATGACTCCCAAACCAATGAACTCCTCCACCCCTTCCATGACTCCACCAACCCCAGGGAGTGTGCCAGGTTTAGGACCTCAGGGCCAAGACACTACTATCAGCAGCAACAGCACGCCTTTCTCCCCACCAGGCCCAGCTGGTCCCAGAGAGCCAGCGGCCATGGGGGGCCATATGCAAGTCTACCGCTTTGGCTGTCCCCCACCACACAACTACACTGGGGGGATGCAATTGCCACAGCAGGGCCCAAACTGGAGGATGAACAGCCCGTCACGCGCTAGCCCCAGTCCAGCTGGTGGGCCCCATCCACCTCAGCAGAACTCTATGCTGTCACCCAGGCACCGTGGTAGTCCTGGGGGGGCAGGCAGCCCTCGTGTAGCAGGAAGCCTGCACTCACCCTCTCCTGTCTCAATGTGTGGAGGGGGGCCTGGAAGTGCAGGCGGTGGCGGCAGTAGCACTCTTGCTAGCAGCTACACTAGCAGTTCTCTGTCGGCTCTACAGGCCCTTAGCGAGTGCCATGGAGTAGGACACGCCACCCCGCATGCACACACGCTGAACTCACCAGACCAGAAGTTAGGTTCCCCAATTGGAGTCACACCGGGTTCAGTGGTAAACACTCACCTGCTGCCAAAACTTGGAGGAAGCAGCAGCGTTGCTGGTGGAGCGGGAGACTTCGGACCTCACCCAGAGGTGAGTCAGGGACACACCCAGGTCCAAACTGACACCGGTCAGGTGGAGCCCAAGGAGGAGAGGGAGGGGGCACTCGAGGGCCACGATGCTCACAACCGCATGCATGACAATAAGGGCCACACCAAGTTACTGCAGTTGCTCACCACTAAGCCAGAACCTCTGGAGACTCCCCTGTCCCCCAGCGCAGGAGGGGAGGGAAAGGAGCAGGCTGCCACAGGGGTCCGAGGTGGCCACATAGGAGGGAGCACCCACGCCACATCCCTCAAAGAAAAACACAAAATCCTCCACCAACTGCTTCGGAACAGTACATCACCTGTAGACCTGGTCAAGCTCACTGCTGAGGCTACAGGCAAAGAACTGGGCCAGGACCAGTCACAGGGTGCTGGTCCCACAGCTTCTGTGGGAGAACTCACTCCCAAGCAGGAGCCATTGAGCCCCAAGAAGAAGGACAATGCACTGCTGCGCTATCTACTGGATAAGGACGACACTGTAATGAAGGACAAGGTCTGCAAGCGGGAACTCGGAGAGGTGAAGTTCGAAGAGGACAAACACCCCCAGGTGAAGGTGGAGAAACAGGATGCAGAGTACGACCGGATCGAGCAGGTTGGTGTATTCTCCTTCTGTCCGCCTTATAAGACAAGCTTTACGTTTTGCTCTCTGGATGAATGCCTGCTTGTGTTGAGTCTGTTAAAATATTTTGCCTCTTGCTACTCCACATGAGCTTTAATCTGGATTGGATACTAGATGTTCCTCCAAGCCCCATGTTTTCCACGATGTTGCCGTTTCATTCACAAATGGTATCAAGAAAAAAAACATTACGGCGTTTAAATTTACAGTCCCGTCATCAACTCCAGACTCATTGAGCATGTTTTATTAGTAAGGTGTATAAACACATCTGGTCCTTTCAGCACCTTTGTGTTGGCAGCACAAGCTGAGAGAGTCTAGCTGCCAGCTTCAAACAACTGTGACATTTGGAAGAAGCGCCTGTGGTTCTTTAGCCATTTGATCCCCGTTGCGTTTGGCCAGAGTCGTCAGGTTTGGCACTGGACTCCAAGACGGGGAAGGGAGTCATTAGAACTCGAAATTTCTGTGACGGCAGGGCTGACATGCCGATGCCTCGACGCATCAGCAGGTTCATCGCTTTCACACAGGAAACCTGCTCTACTGAGCACATTCAAGACACAAATCTGTGAATACCATTGTTACAACACTGTCAAACCACAGAATTACAAATAATTATACAAATGCCCCTCCACTCACTGCTCAGTACCTATGCACGCAGTTGAATCATGAGCAACTCCCTACAGTAGTCACATTTTTGCATCGAAACTCGTGCTTGTGTACTCTGCGAAAGCGAGGAAAATGTGATTTGTTGGATAATAAGGAACTGTAGAGCCGAACAAAGAATGTGAGATGAGAAAGGTGTAGATACCCCCCAGGAGAGCCCGGCCTCGGCATGCAGAGTGAAAATGATGAGCCATGTGTGCTTGCATGTCCTCTCTGCTGCCATGGAGATGGCGGAGAGAGGGAGCGCTGCGTTCGTAGAGCATGCACGAAGCAAAGGGGGGAAAAGGAAATGAAGGTTTAATCTGTGCACCTTAATCTTGAAGGCTTTATTTTGTGGCGGTACCAATATAGAAAGTAACAAACGGAAGCTGAATGTTTATTCTCACTTGCCTTGATAGTGAAATAGTTTCACACAGAGGTGGTGATTGAATCGCTCGTTCCTTCGATCAGCGGTGGCTCATTCCAGTTTAACAGATTTCCTTAATGAGAAAAACGCCGTTTGTCAGAGGCGCTGTGACTTCATCGAAGTCATTTCATGTGTGCGAGTGTTTTTGCGTTGCTCGTACGGTGATCCGCTGCTCGGCCATGTGTGAAAACTCACTGTACTAGTTGGAGAGTCATCCGCCCCTGTACCAACCCCACCCACTGTTTTCTCACTGACTCTCCTCGCCAGCCTTTCCCTGGCTCCTCCTCATGGTTGTTTCAAAGCTGAATTATTGATGGGCAGGGTCGAGCTCAACGAGAAATCAAATCAGAGCAGAGTTGAGGGTTCTGGTGACTGTACGGCCTGCGCAGTTGGAATAAATCTGATTGGATCAACATTCGGCTATCGACGAGGAAAACACTGTTCGTTTTCCACACTAGACAACACAGATGATGATTAATCAGCATACCTCCTTCATTTAAGCATTTATTTTCACTGTCCAGTCCTGACAAGTGGCCGCCCAGTTTGCTAAAAGCCTGTATCTTTACTCTCCTGGCTCACCAAAGCAGCCGCAGCCGTAGCATCCGGCTGTTTCACATTCCAGCTCCGTCACACACTGTGCGACTCCAGAGAGGACCTGGACGCTTTTTGTCCTGTTTTTTTTATTTTTTGCATCTTGACACACCGTTATTGTTTTTAAGTCTCTACATTTAATTAAGATATTTATAAATTGACAACCTTCAGACTGTGTCTTTATGCAGCCGTATTCAAAATGCAGCTTTCTCCTCACGTATTTTTCAGTTTATTATCGCAGACGTCGGATGTGGTGCGCAATTTGATCTGAGATCATAAATATTTTCTTAAGTAGCTGTCATTACCAAGCTGGCACTCAAAATATGACTTTTTATTTTTAATTTTTAATAATCCCCTGACAAACAAACATGAAATACAGTTTGATGAATCTGAGTTTGCAGCAATCACATGGACGGCTCTTTGCCTTTGGAAATACAGTCGCTGCTGCTCGGATCATTGTTTCTTCTTTAAAATATTCTGATGAAGGCTGCAGAAGCAGCAGCAAAAAGAAAAATAAAGATCTAGTACTATATATTAAATGTATCTACACAAATGCAGTTTACATGGTATTAAATATGCATTTCATAAAAACTGTTAAACTAGAGAAATTGTATTCTCTGAACAAATGCAGTGCTAAGTGCTAAATGACTACTGGAATTAGCTACAGCTGAGTTGTTAAAGCTAAAAAGAGCCGAAAGCTTGGCTAAAAGTAGCAAAAGGCAGGCTAAAAACTTCAAGTATAATAGCAAGATGTAAAATATGAAACGATAATGCTGAAGCAGATTTCAGAGAATTGATTTTCAAGAACTTGAAAAGCTCTCGATGGGGAAAATATTTAGAAAACTATGAATTTTTTTTTTTTACAAAAATTAAAATTCATAGCCCCAATTTCCTGAATGAGCTGAAGGTTTTGAAAAAGGAATGGTTAAAATAAAGTATGCAGAAGTAGTTACAAAAATACGAGGGAAAAGAAAAGAAAGATGTGGACGCTGAATCGGTATTCTTAATAGTTCATAAACTATATTGCACAGTTTGGCCATAATTTAGCATGTCGGTACATTTTTAATTCAAAACAGTCCCAAAATAACTGCACTTCCAGCTGTGCAGTTACTTACTGTAATGCTTTATGTTTTATTTTACTACATGGGTGTACAGTAGTCCCTCGTTTATTGCGGGTGTTAGAAAATCCATGAAGTAACGCTGTTATTTTTTATTTCTATATATTTTAAGGCTTTAGAAATGCTTCCCACGCTCTTGCAATGTTCTAATGTTCAGATCTTTTGTTGGCCGGTCACTATAAACAATAAATCAATTAATTGCATGATAAATAAAAATTATCGACCTCATTTTCATTTAGCGGCTTTATCAAAGAGACATGCTGCTCACGCCCTCACTATCCATCCTTCGGTTCTAACAGTCTTGTACTGCCAACCGGTGGTCGATTTAAGGTACTGCACACAAAACAAATTAAACATTTCTTCTTAAATTTGACGATAATTACTGATTATTGTCAAATTTCAATCAATGTTATCGTTTATCGCAATAGTTTCTGAGACGATTAATCGCCCAGCAAAATTTGTTATGGTGACAGGCGTACGCGGGACCGTAGGTGGTCAGTTGAGTCCCAAGTCTGGATGCAGAAAGTCTCTATGGACTCCAGAAACAGCCCAGGACCTTCGGCGGCGCGTCCCCACTCTGAAGTCCTCGTGCACTGGCTACCAGCTCTCAAGGGTCACCGAATGGTCTGAAGGTCTGGTTCTGGTCCGGTTCTGGTCCGTTTCGATGGGTTCTGTGTGGCTCTCTGCATCCACTGGGCGCCAAAGTCACTGTAATAAGAGCCGAATGTTTCTGATCACATCAAAACTTTCCCTTTAGTTTTTCAGCAGAAGGAAACGGGGCTCCTGGGTGGAGCCCTGTTGACCTCTGGGAAATGTAGTTGTTATGAGTGGGAACACAGTATAGGCTTATTGAGAGAAAACTACAAAATGGCAGCGCCTGTCCAAAGTATTTTATTTTTCGTTAACTTTTTACTGCAGTCCCATTCACGTGAATAATATTAAAGTTGACGATCATGTGTCCTGTACAATTTTTTTTAAATATATGTTCGTGTGCGTTGACAAACCGCGATAAAGCGAGTCCACGAAAGTCGAACCACGAAGTAGCGAGGGACTACTGTACGTAGAAGTATTGCTTTTCATTCTATATTGTTTTTAACTAACAAAGGCCAACATGTGGCGACTTTTCATTTTCCTTTCATGACATGAGGCACTTCTGCTTTTCTCACTCAAGTCTTTTTGGTTCCTTTTCTTGTGAAACAACAAAGACCTGATTAGGAAAAAAATGATTAAATATGAATGTCCTTCACTGAAGTCCACACGAGCATGGTGTTAAAAATGCACTTTCAGTAAAGATCGTCGTGCAGGTGTCTGCAACAGATATGAGGTAAGTTCAGCTCGTACAAGTACAGATTTATCTTTGTCTGAGGAGTCCGAAACATTTGCATGCCAGGCAGCAGCAGCCCGAGTGACTTGAAATGTGGGACACATCAGCAGCTGACGGTTCATTTCTGCACGAACAAATGAGGACGAGAATTCGTGCACGGTTTCTTTTTCTTCGTGTGTGCAACTTTAAAGTATTTCTCTTAGCTGCTTTTCTAACACAAGCGTCGACGCCGTTGTCAAAACGTGATTCGTGCTCGACAAGGAATAATGCGTTTGCCTCAAAATGCCGTTGTCGTGCGTACAGTTAGAGGTTGTGCTACACAAAGAGCATACGGAGCGTGCAGACGTGCATTCAAATGAGCGAGTTAAAAGAATTGATAGAAACTGGACCCATTAGGAGTAAAAGCAGCTCCAAGTGGAGGAAATTGAAAGTGGGAGGAGAGGAGGAGGAGGAAAGTGAGCGTGCAGGCATTACATCATTCCTGACCTCATTAGGGCTTTTCTCTCTCCCACCACCCCCCTCTCACTCACTCCATTACTCTCTCTAGGTCTCCTACATATTCACTGTGCTCTCTGTAATATCAGCCTTGTGTAGTTTATCAAACGTCTAAGTAGAGGCATGACCATGGTGCAGGCCTTGAGCTCTCCTGATAAATGTTCTATCTGACATTTTGGGCACCCTTGTTATCTTTCGCAGCATTTTTATGCTCAACAAACATTGTCTGTAAGTGCAGCACTGAAGATGCTGGTTCTGTTCGGTACAGTTTGTCACGAACAGTAAATATCTGTCATTCCAGGTGGGCTGCTCTCTGGTGGGCACTTGCTGCCACTGCAACTTATTTACCTGAAGTCCCTGAGGCCTCTTCAGTAAACATTACAGCTTCATGTCGGTGATAGCCTGCTGCCGTTTTGACTCTTATATTTTTACTGTAAAACAAAATGACTTTTCTTGTGCGAGTGTTCTTGGAGCAGTCGCACTGCTGGGATCCACTTTTTGTCCGTACATTTTTTAGCGCCTTTCTCGTCCCGCAGTTCTCAAGCTATTTTAACGAATCGTAAATGAAAACGTTCAGCTCTTTCAGGACAATCCTGCTATGACTTTTTGTGTTGGTGCAACTTTAGCTTTTTGAAATATTTCGCCTTTTCTGTTTTTGTTTTTGTTTTGTTTTTCTCACAGATTTGAGCTCATTTTAATCCTTCGAATCTTTAGATCTGTTTATAACTTTTTACTGCTTATTTCTGCTTTTTCAGCTACTATATAGCTGTTTTATGCTAATTTAAGCTTTTTCAGCTAATCCACATATTTTTGCACTCATTTTAACTTTTTCAAGTTGTTCAAGTTCAAGTTGTGTTTATTTGTCAGATGCAGGTTAACACAACAGCACAATGAAATGCTTAGAATGAGAAGAACTGATGTGACTCGCTAAAAACTCAAAGAACAAACCAACAAGAATACTAAAGCATGCAATAAGGGTACTCAAAAAGTACCAAAAAGTGAAAAATTAATTATAATATTTACAATGTCCTAAAGAGAGATAAAAATATTTAAGATGGATAATAATATTTAAAGCCTAATTCAGCAAAATGTGCTCTCCACTTCCTTCTTGTAACTTCAGCTTCTTGCTGCTTTCTTAGATACTTTTCAGCTGTTCTTTTGCTAATTTTGGCTTTTTTCCAGATACGTTCTACTTTTTGTGCTCGTTTCTGCTTCTTTCAGCCTAACTGGGCAGACGTGTTCTTTCTGATTTCTTCTGCTAATTTAAGCTTGTTCTACATTTTCAGCTAGCTTTGTAGAATTTTCATTCGCAGATTTCAGCTGTTTTCAGATAAATTTAAAAATGTTCATGCTAATTTCTGCTACTTTCAGTCTAATTATCTTCTGAACTCATTTTGCTAATTTCAGCTTATGTTCCTTTCAACTTTTTCAGCTAATTTCAGTTTTTTTCTGCTATTTCAGCTACTATTTAGCTATTTTTAAGCAAATTTTAGCTTTTTTAAGTAATCCCACATTTTTTCTGACCGTTTCAGCTCTTTCCACTTCCTTCTCTTAAGCTTCTTTCTGTCTTTTTGGCTATTTTACATGTTTTTTGTTAATTTTAAGTTGTTTTTTTTAGCTGATTTCCTAATTTTTGTGCTTATTTTTGTTTATTTAACCATAATTCAGCAAATATGTGTTCTTTCTGCTTTCTTCTGCTAAATTAGGCTTGTTCTTTCATTTCAGCTACAATTCAGCATGTTTTTTCCTTTTTTTTAGCTAATTTCAGCTGTTTTTCAGCAATAAGCATTCACACTGCATTTTCGCAGGAAATGCAATTTCTCTAGTTGAGGAATAATGTTCACAATTTTATTTGGTGTTTAGCCTTAAAACACTGGCGTTAGTATAAGTTACTAATTAGTAGTTTTGTTTACTCCAGTGCTGTAACCAGGGTCAGACCTTAGCAAACTTCTTGGACTAAAGCTCAGGGTGAACAAGTGTCTCGGTGTCTTAAAGTCTTAATGTCTCATCTGTTTTATGCTTCTCCTCCTTCTGTCATTCTTTCCTCAAGTCGTCGGAGCTGGATGACATCCTCAACGACCTGCAGGACACCGTTTCGTTGCCCAGTCCCATAAAGCAGCAGAACATTATCAACAACATGATGCAGATGTCCGAGGCCGGTCCTGCCATGGCGGCGCAGCAGCAGCAACACCGAGGTCTTGCGGCTAGCATGGGTCCGACTAATACGTCGTAGAACATTTAGTTTTGCTTAGTCAGGCTTGTGGCTTTAACGCTGTTCTTCTTGTTTTTAGACTTTGGGGGTGTCCGACAAGGACCGCCAGGCAGGAGTTTGTCTGTGAGGAGCGTCTCTCTGGACATGAGCGTGTCCCCTCAGCAGCAGTATCCCATAAGGGCTTCGAGCCCGTACGCTCTCATGCAGCAGCAACAGCAGCAAGGGATGGGAAGTCCCGGCATGATGCCTAACCAGGCAGGACTGGTGAATGCAGGTAGGAGCAACAGTCTTCTTCTGTTTCTGACTGTGGGTTTGAATATTGCTGCCATGTTTCCTCAGTGTATCAATAAAAAAACCTCAATAAAGCTACAGTTCTGTGCAGAATCTCTAAAGCTCACACACGTTTTTTTTCTTTTTGGTCTTAGTGTGTTGTTTTCAAATTCTGACTTTCCCTCTGTGTCTTTCACCCTTACATATCACATCATGACACAGTGACTCACTTCCTGTGACAGGAAACAGTCACCCACACAGACACAGTTTCTCTCTCTGTCTCCTACATATCAATACTCCTGAAGCAACTTCCAGTTCCACATACGAAGCTCCCCCCCCCCCCCTCTCCTATTGATCCACAGCTTCACATGGTGGCTGCTGAGGATCCATCCAGATGTTTCTCACCGTTCCTCATCTCACTGTGTGTGCTTGCTCCTTTAGGACTGATGGCTCCAGGTGGTCCACGACCTGTCATGCAGCAAGAGGGCTGGGTGGGTTCTGCCTCTGCGCCTCCGCTGGGAGCGTCCGGTCCCGGACAGCAAAACGCCATGCAGGGCAGAATGGGGCCTGGCAATGGTCTGATGAGGCCTAACAGCCAGCCAGGGCCCCGGCCGATGCTTCAGTCCTCAATGATGTCCAACGGTGAGACCTCAGTGTGCCATCAAAACAATTAATTCACACCTAATAACATTATAAATGTCCTGATGCGTGCTCAATAATCCAGGTGGATCAGTCTAAGAAGGTGGAGTCAGGTCTTTAGGATAAAAGATGAAACGTTTCATCAAAGACAAACATAAATAAACACTTCTGACCCCCAGGAGGCGAGAGATCACGAAGCTGTCGATGGCAAAAAAAAAACCCATTTAGGTTTTTACATGGAAAGCCAGATGTTGTTTATCGTGACCTTTTAATGCTGATGAGTCTTCAACTCACCCTTAAGTTGTTAACCAGCCCCTCATAGCTGTAAATGGCGCCACCTTGTGGTTATTTATGACTCCAACGTTTATATTTGTGGCAGAATTGTCTCCCAAGTGTTTAACAGAAATGTCACATTTGCACGACCTCGTGTTGTCCCCACAGACTATTCACTGCAGCGTCAACCTTCTTTCTCTGTTTGATGTCTCTTAGCCCAACCGGACATGGACATCGGTATGGTCAGCCACCATTTCTCACAACAGGCTCCGCCCAACCAGACCGCACCTTTGCCAGACAGCATGATGCCGATCGATCAGACGGCTTTCGTAAACCAGAACAGGTTTTTACTCGCACATTAAGCTTTTTGTGTTCTCAACAGATGGTTTGTGTTAATAAGAAAAAGAATTATTTCATTTCTCTGTCTCGTTCCTCAGACCTGCTCCCCAGGATGATCATCTGTGCAACACGGGGCTCGGTGCTGACGGGAACACGGTGGACGAGGGAGCTTTGATGTCCCAGCTGTACACGGCACTGAAAGACTTCGATGGTCTGGAGGAGCTTGATCGTGCTCTCGGGATCCCCGCCCTGGTTGAACAGGTGAACTTTCCCAACAGGCATCATCTCGTTCTTCTTCTACAGGTCGTTAGTGACGTTCTCATCGCTGCCTATTTCAGAGCCAGTCACTGGAGCCAGACCAGTTCCCACAGGACCCCTCCATGATGTTGGACCAAAAGCCCCCAATGTACACCCAGCAATTCGGCCCTCCACCGTCCCACATGGCGCCAAGGGGCTTCCCTGCAGCTCCCATGCAAGAACCAGGTTTTCACCCCATGTCTGGCCAGATGGGTCCGCGGCAGAGTTACCCAATGATGAGAATGCAGCCACGGCCTGGACTCCGGCCCAGTGGTGTGCCCCCCAACCAGCCCAACACACTACGCCTGCAGCTCCAGCACCGGCTACAGTCACAACAGGTACACGACGCAGCTAGACCACCCTGACACGACGAGGTGATAAATACAACTTATTGATTCTTGACTCTGTTGCAACTTTCTGCTGCGTGACGGGACACACATACGAGTTGTGTAATCGTCCTTTAGGTCAACAATCAGTTTGTGTTTGCACACGTTTGGACTTCGAGGTCTTTCTGCTAGTCATGTTTTAGTAAAAATAATAACCAAACAAGCATTTTGTATTTGAGTCGTGTTTTTATTTCAGGCTGCGCAAAATGAAAAACGTGCAATTATGACTGAAGTCACTTTCACAACAAACCGATATACAAGTGCAAAACATTTCTGAGATTTGAACAAACCACAGTTTGAGTTTCGTGTCGTTTCTGTGTTTTGTCTGTGCAGAACCGTCAGCCGATGATGACTCCGATGAGCAGTGTGTCGAATGTGAACCTACCTCTTCGAGCCAGTGCTCCAAGCCAGGTATCTCTCCACAACCCTTCGTTTGCTCATTCAACCCCACTTCCAATAAGTTAGGACATAATAATTCACAATGGAAGAGTAAGCACATCAAATGTTTTACTTAAAAAAGTTTAAACCTTTTTATTTAAATATATATGTTTTTTTTAAATGGCAAAGTGGGAAACTGTTCTGTGGTTAGATAAAATTAAAAAACGCCATGGCCGACAAATTTAAAAGAACCACCATCCAGACTGTTATCATCGCATCGTTCAACAACCTGCCTCGCTAATGGTATGGAGGTACATTGAATAATTTGGCTAAAGTAAAACACACACTTATACTGTGTGTGTGAGCATAAAATATTGGTTTATTGCGTGAATGTTTATAGTGATCCATTTTTCTTCCGTATGTTTTTCGGTGCGATTCTTGTCCCACAATTTTTGAGCTATTTCAACAAATCATAAATAAAAACTTTCAGCTCTTTCAGGAAAATCCTGCTATGACCTTTGGTATTGGTGCAACTTTAGCTTTTTGAAATATTTAGCCTTTTCTGCCCTTTTTTTATAATAAACGAATTGAGCTCATTTTACATCCTTCAAATCTTTAGATGTGTTTACAACCTTTTACTGCTCCTTTCACATTTTGTTCAGGTTCAGCTTCTTTCAGCTTCCTTGTGCAAATGTAAACTTTTTTCAGCTACTTTCAGCTGTTTTTTTCCAGCTGTTTTGTGCTCCTTTCAGCTTCTTTCTGCTAACTAAAACATTTTTGTGCTTCTTCTAACTTCTTTCTGCTAATTTCAGCTCGTTATGCTTCTTTCAGCTGATTTCTGCTAGTTTCAGCATTTTCTATTACTTCAGCTACTATATTCTGTTCAGTGTCCTGAGAGGACTTCTGTTGTGACTTAGCGCTATATAAATAAACTGGATTGAATATAGCTGTTTTTATGCTACTTTAAGATTTTTCAACTAATTCCACATTTTTTTAGCTCATTTCAAGTTTTTTCAGCCTAATTCAGCAACATATGCTCTCTCCACTTCCTTGTAATTTCAGCTTCTTTCTGTTTTTTTTTTTATTTTATTTACTTTTCAGCTGTTTTTGTGCATTTCAGCTTTTTTCAGATAATTTCCACTTTTTTATGCCAATTTTTGCTTCTTTCAGCAAATGTGTTCATTATTCTGCTGTTTTAAACTTGTTCTAACTTTTCAGCTACTTTTTTAGCATTTTCAGCTAATTTCAGTTGTTTTCAGATAGTCAATTTTTTCGTAGTAATTTCTCCTACCTTCAGCCTAATTAAGCTCTTTCTGCCACTTCCAGCTTGTATGCTCCCTTCAGCTTTTTTCTGCTATTTCAGCTACTTCTTAGCTGTTTTTGAGCTAAATTTAGCTTTTACAGCTAATTCCACATTTTCTTTCTCATCTCAGCTCTTTCACTTCCTTCTGGTAGTTTTTTTTTTCTACCTTTTCAGGGTTTTTTTTTTTTTGTTGCTAATTTTAAATTTTTTAGTTAATTTGCTAATTTTTGTGCTCATTTCTTATCATTTAACCTACTTCAGCAAATATGTGTTCTTTCTGCTTTTTTCTGCCAACTTAAGCTTGTTCTTCCATTTCAGCTATATTTCAGCATGTTTTTAGCTGATTTCAGCTGTTTTTCAGCAAGTTCTTCAGCAAAAAGCATTCACACTGCATTTTTGCAGGAAATGCAGTTTCTCTAGTTATGAATTAATACTGTTGCACTATGTTATATTTACATTTTACACATTGTTCAACGTTTTCAGAGGAGGGGTTTCAGTGTGAGGCTTTGCACATGAACGTTTATTTTTTTTATTTGACACTTGCTACTTCGACTCGTTCCAGGCAAGCATCAATGCTCGGATGTTGGCTCAGCGTCACCGGGAACTTCTGAGTAATACCTTGAGGCAGAGGCAGCAGGTGCAACAGGCCCAGCAGGTTCAGCAGCAGCGGAGCATGGCCATGAGGGCCCAGAACCTCAACCTGCCTCCCAACATGGCCGCCATGGGCATGAGTAGCCCCAGGAATCCTCAGGCAACTCCCCAGCAGTTCCCCTACCCACCCAGCTACGGTACCAGTACAGGCCTGGCCTCGTCACCTCCCCCTACCAGCCCCTTCTCCTCCCCACTCTCCCCCAGCCTGCCCTCTCTCCCCCCCACCCCTCAGCTCCACCTGCATGGCACCTCCTCCTCCTCACAGATGATGATGGGAAACACAAACATGATGGGCGGACAGTACGGGGCCGTACTCAGCCCCCAAATGCAGCACAGTGCCTTTCAGTTTCCCAACTCAGGTACTGCTCCCACTCCCTGTCCAACCACACACTTCACCTCAGAACCCCCATGTGTGTGTTTGTGTGTGAATGTGACATCATATTTGTGTTGGTGTGACTGTAGCAGCACAGCATCACTTTTAGTCTGATTCATGATGTCATGTGATGATGGCCACTTGATCACTGTCCTGCTGCAGAATCCATGAAATGTACAGTTCTCTTTTGATTTGAGCTTACTGTGTTGTCCTGATTTATTTTTAATCCACTAGAGGGCAGCACATGCACAGGTTCTCACAGGATGCACTCTTGACGCCTGTCAGTCTGACACGTAATCTGTAATCTGATTTGTCTGACAGGTTTGATTTATCCTGCATTTTATTTCTTATAGTGGGTTTGCGTAAAAGAAACAAACTGAACATAGTTTAATTTTTCTCCCTTGGTACCGCCTCATCGTCTCTTCGTGTTTCAGTGCATGTGGGAAATATTAACTGCCTGTAAATAACCCTGAATGCAGATTGAAATTTCTCTTCCAAAACATAATAATCCCCATGCTTCCTTTCCTTTCTACTCCAGATCTGATTTTCAAAAATCCTTAACTTGTCGCAGAACATCTGGAATGTTACTGTCATCCTCACTCCTTCATTTGTCAGGAAACGAGTGGATTTGCGGGGCGATGTTGTCTGATGTTTTTTGATGCGTCCCACGCAGGTATGAACCAACAGGCAGACGGAGGGTTTGGAGGAGCCAGCACGCCACAGAGCCCCCTGCTGTCCCCTCGCATGGCCCACACGCAGTCCCCCATGATTCAACAGGGCCAACAAAATGCTGCTTTCCAGGGTTCTCCTGACATGAACGGCTGGCCGCCGGGAAACATGGGAGGGAACAGGTAAAGCTGTAAATTATTGTCAGAATAGGGATTATGGCAAATTATTTTGAGCTGAAGATCCAGGAAAAATCAGCGTTTTCTTCCAAGTTGTCATTATGAGATTATAGCATCTGAAATAGGATTGTTAAAATAAGATAAAATATATTTTTTAATGTGCTAATTGTTTTAGAACTTTTAAGTGAGTCAGTTCTTAAATATATTTTCTCTAATTTTCTGCAGCAATAAATCAACCCACTAATGTCATATATAAAACAAATTTATTTAAAACGAATAATGTACCGGACAATGGGCAGTCATCAGTGGTTCCCAACCCTGGTCCCTGAGGAACGCCACCCTGCATGTTTTAGCTGTTTCCCTGCTCCAACACGTCTGATTCAGGGATTTAATTTCCTCAAGTTCTGCCGAAGCCTGTTAATCACTCAAATCATTCAAATCAGGTGTGTCAAAGCAGGGAAACGGCTAATTCATTCATTCAACCTTTATTTATACAGGTTAATCCCATTGAACCTCGGGTACTCATTTACAAGAGAGACCTGAATTTTTAACTGAAGAGTGATGACAACAATAGACAATCATAAAGGATGTGTACAATTATTATTATTATTTTTTTACAAGTTAAAAATTAAATGGCAACCAAAAGGAAAATTAGCAAAAAACCAGCTAGGTTGTAAGGTGGTGTAGAAAACTAAAAACAGGAACATGTCTTGTGTTGGTTTTTGCCAGGAACTTTACAGATGTTTAAAGCCACTAGAAAGGTCAAAGTTGAGAGCTTCAGATTGTTTTGTAAGATATTCCAGGAAACTGGAGCGGAGTAGGAGAAGAACCTTTTCCCTAGTTCAGACCTCACTGAGGGAACACTGCAGGTAATGATGTCTTCAGAGCGCACGCTGTAGCTGCACTCATGCAGAGACATGTAGGAGGAGATGTATGAAGGCAGCAGACCAAGAAGTGATTTAAAGATGAAAATGTACCAGTGAGAGAGTCTGCGTGAAGTTAATGATGTCCAGTTAACCAGTGAATACAGGGTGCAGTGGTGGGTACGATAATCACAGCCAGTTATGAATCTTAGTGCACCATGATAGACAACATCCAACATCTGCAGGGTTCTTGTAGGAGCATTCATGTAAATAATGTCACCGTAACCAATGGAGGGAAGAAAAGTTACAGTTAGAAGGTGTTTCGTAGCGTTCAGAGTTAGACGGGATCTGTTTCTGAAAAAGAAATACAATTTAACTTTCAGTTTCTTTACTAGGTTTTCCACGTGAAGCTTAAGAGAGAGATTCAAGTCAACCAAGATACCAAATATTTGTAGGAATCAACAAACTCAATAGGAACACCATTTGAGGATAAAATCAGAGGAAGAGCTGCTGGGACCGACTTCCTGTTTGAAAAAGGCATCCCTTTGGTTTTGTCGGTGTTTAGGACAAGTTTGAGATGGAACAAATCTGACTGGATGATGTCAAATGCAGATTGCAAAAGCTGGAAAGCCTTAACAACTGTTTTAGCTCAACAATAAACAACTGTGCCAGCAGCATAGAAATGATGCATCAGGGATGCTCTGACCTACTTTACCTTTGTAGATTGTAAAGAGTGTGTGTCCTAAGACTGAGCCTTGTGGTACACCATTGTTGACTGTTAAAAAACTGGAGGAAGTACCATTATGTTGAACGCATTGCCTCCGATCTGAAAGATGGTTAGAGAACCATCCAATGGTGTGATCTGAGGAACCAATTTCTGAGAGCTTATGACACAAGATGTTATGATCCACAGTGTCAAAAGCTTTAGACAGGTCTAAGAAAAGCTAAACATGCAGGGTGGTGTTCCTCAAGGACCAGGGTTGGGAACCACTGGTCTAAAGAAGTAAAAGGAAAATAATCATCTATAACAGAGAATAAGAAGTCAGAAGCCTGGATTCCTGTGTGTTCTGCACACGTAAACACATTGATTGTGGGGGGGGGGGGGTTGATTGTAGAGGAAGAACCCATCGTGTGTGCTTGTGCTTTAGCATTTCCACACCTCTCCCCAGCATGTTCCCGCAGCAGCAGACGTCCCCGCAGTTCACGCAGCAGAACAACAACAGCAGCAGCAGCATGTACAACGGCAACGCCATGAGCCTCAACAGCATCTCCATGAACACCAACATGGCGACCAGCAGCATGGGCCAGATGAGTGGACAGATGAACATCACATCCATGGCATCAGGGTCCTCACCCGGCCTGCCCTCCATGGGACAAGAACAGGTACTTTTCACTCAAAACTTTTCCAGCACACCCGTAAGTCTTCTCTGTTGTTTCGCTAATTGTCTGAACTCCAGTTTTCTGTTATTGAGAGGCTCTAAGTGTTTGGCTGCTCTGCTGGTGAATAATTAACTCCATAGTTTATGTAACTCCTCTCTTTTTGTCAGAGTTCTGCTACTTGGCCCAAACTTAGAAGAGTGATGTAACTAGAACCGAGCCTTCCATGCAGGCAGCTGATGTGACACGTCGACACTGACATGTTTTCCAGCTGCACGTTGTTCGTTTAAATCCACCCAAGTTCATTCATCTTCCTCCGTCTCAGTGGTTGTTAGCTTAGCGTCTCCAATGCACCGTTGTTGAGCGTAATGCTTTTAAGACTCATGAATATTTCATCCGGGTGGTGCTGTTTGATTGTCTGCACTCCAGACTGATGGAACGTGTCGGTATATCTGTCACCGGGTTTACCTCACCCTTCAGGTTGACAGAAAAACTACTGGCACTCTGATTGTTTTAATTATTTACTGGTGGCCCATTAGTGCATGCATTTGTGATTTAGTGGTGTTTTTGTTTTTAACAACCATGGTTGTAATTACTGACAGTCTTATGTTTAGATGCTGACTTGTTAGTTTATAAAGACCTGGACTAATATTTGTTTGTTTGTTTGTTTTTCAGAAATATTGTTGACCCTCATGAAGCCTCTTAACACGAACCTCAAAGCTCAGCTGGCGCAAGGAGCGTGTCGGCCCTTTAAAAACAAAAATGCAAACTAATCGGCTGCCCCTTGAACCAGCCAGGCCAGCGCCCTGACCCCCTCCATCTCCCTTGTCCCTGCTCCCCCCCCACACACACACACAAATAGACACAGGAGTGCGCGGAGTGCTGGGGAAGGACCTCTGTCCGACTTGCCTAACCCTCCTGGAGGAGCCGCCAATGAGACGCCGATCTGCCTGTCCAGCCGCATTCACCGTAATGTGACTTACTGTCGGCCTCCTGGAGGGGGACATAAACTTGGGTGGCAGAGGCTTTTGGGGGAGGGGGGGGTCTTTGTTCTGATGAATGTATTCCTCTCAGTGGACCGCGGCCATTTACAATCTTGTCCCAAACTCGAACTGATTAATTTTCTCCTCCAACTTCATTTGTGACGTTTCCATTTTGTTTCAAAATGGCAGCAAAGACTCCTGGATGGAAATCAAATGAACAGTTTTGCCTTTTTTTTTTTTTTGCTGTTTATTTTATTATTATTATTTTAGTTTTTCTTGTGACAATTAAGATGTAGAGTGAAAACACGGTGGGTAAAAAAAAAAAAAAAAAAAAATCCTGATAAACACTGCAGAAGAAAAATTCGAGTGAAATTTTATGATTAGACTAATTTAGTCGAGAGGTTTAAATAGTGTATTAAATTAAGTTTTATTTTTCTGTATAGATTCATTTTAATTATTGTAGATGATATCCTTGTAGCAAGATTCCTAAAAGTGTAAAAGAGGCACTTTTCTATCATTTTTAACAGTAACAGTTTTATTCTTTCTGTGAAGATTCTTCTATTAGCCTGAATTATGGATTACGCTTTTTGGTCCGGCTGTTTCAGAAAATCAAATATGGTTTAAGAGATTGTACATACAGATAAGTAAAATGGTTTCTCTTATTTATTTTGCTCCCCCCTCCTGGTCAAAACTGCCTCTTGAAGTAGAGCAGTTATTTAGCTTTTGTTTGTTTGTTTTTAGCTATCGGGAACTTTGACATGTTGGTACGATGAAACAAGGGGGGGATGTCGGTAAGGAGTCGGGGCGGGTTGTAAAAGGGTGTGCTGTGTATACAGTGTACAGATTATGGCTTGCTTCTCTGCCTTTAGCATAGAACTAAAAAAAGAAAAAATTAAAGAAAAAAAAAACCCAACACAGCCATACGGTAACTCAAAAGTATAAAAAGTGTGCTTTCTTTGTCGTCTGGAGTGAAAACTGCTTCATACAAGCTGCTAGGTGCAAACTGTTCTGTGTGATGTAAACAAGCAATAACAATTACTTGATTATTTCTTTTCTTCGTTTGTTTTTGTAATTTTTGTACAGTTTCCTGAATATGAAAAAGGACACCTTTTTTGCTCTGCGTTTGGATGCAGTATTATTAGACACGTTTTTTTAAATCGCAGTTTGTACCAAGAAAGTCTACAATCCACACACACAAAGCGTTCTTATGAAATTATGCAGCATTGGGCTGAGGTCGGAGAGGGAGGTAGTTTATCCCCCCCACCGTATTGAAAGGCGCCCCCTCTCTCTTCCTCCAGCCTCTCTTCTATCGCAGAGGTCAGAGTCGAGACTGCACGCTCTGACAGACAGCCATATTTTATGACCTCAGGCACGTTGGTTCAACTCTAAAGGTAATGACGCGCTGTTCTTGTGACGGCTTCACCGCCACATCTTTAGCAAGTCGTCCTCTCTAACCTCAAAAAGAAAAAAGAAAAAAACTTTTTATATGAACTATTTTAACCCAGGACAAACGTTGAGCAAGCCAAATAATTCTCACATTTCGATTGGATTTCTGAATTTTCTTTCCATCCCGAGCAATCACTTCTTCGTCCCCGGGCCCACACAAACCAGGAAGTCTCTTAATGATGTCACTTAATGGGTCTGATGGTCCATCGTAAAACAGGAAGAGCATCACTCTGAATGTATCGTCATTAAAGGCCTACGGACGTGACTTTGTTTTTGGTTTTTCCTCCATCGTGGTGTTAAAGCGGTCACGCCCTGCTCTTTGCATTTTATTTATTTTTTTATTCTGTATGAAATTTGAAGCTGTAGCAAGTCTGCGCCGGGGCAAAGAAAGGCTGCACGAGCCCCCTCTGGTCCCTGCAGATGTTTGGTCGTGGATCTCCACGAGATCCTACATGTTTGAGCAGTATTCTGTGCAGGATTTAAAAAAAAAAAAAGCCTTTTGAGCCATTTTAAAGGATTCACAGCCCTTAAATTTCCAAAGATTGTTGCGATTTTGAAATGACTTAAAGCCATGTGGTAGCAGCGCGTTCTATTTTATTTTATTAGCATTTTTAATGACTGGACCCTTTCTGCCCATACAGATATTCAGGCTTTGGACCCACTAAACAAAACTATATATTTTTCCTCTGTAACTTAAAAAAATGTTAAATGCCCTTTTGTATCGTCTGCTGGTGTCTTAGAGCTAAGATGCAACCTTTAAATGCTAACCCCCCCCAGAGTGATGCCTTAGATTTTGTCCCTTCCTGTTTCCTGTAAATGAATTCCACTGCTGTCTATAAACTGTATAATGACTGGTGTACAGTGTTGAGTGAATGCGTCATTATTCAACTCTTCTCAGCTGCTGACGACTCTGCCACAGTTCTAACAGCCCCCCCACCCCCATCACTGCTCTCTGTTCTGTGGTGGGTTACTTCACCTGTACCCCCTCCTCACTGGTTGATGGAAAAGAAACGCATATTGAAGCAATATGTTCTATACTGTCTGGACTTCTCTGATGAAAGCTCTCTGCTGTGTTTTCCGGGATCATGTTTATTTTATTTTTTTTATTTTTTTATCGTTCACAAGAGTCGCACTGTAAACCTGCATTGATCCGATCTTTGTACCCTACGTGTGTGTGTGTGTGTGCGTGCGCGTGCGTGTGAGCGTTTTATGCAAAATTAGATATACAAGAGAAGTTAAAAACCACAGTTATGCAAGTTGTGAACTAATATGGCTTCGCTGATGCTATTTGCCTTGTAAATAAAGAATTCTGTTATTGCATTATTTAACCGAGTGCCTTGTTGTTTTATACTGTTGAAACATCTGTCCTGTTGGATTCAGGAGGAGCAGTGAGACTTCCGTCCTAGTCGTGGAACCGTGGACCAGATCTTCACCCATGCGGAGTTTCATGGACATTTGACTCTACGTGTGTTTTGTGGACCTGGAGACTTCATCAAAGTTCATGCTGAATAATCCAGGTACAAAGTCCAACTAAGTTCAGTCAGGTCATCTGGGCGTTGTTTTTTTGTTGTCGAGATGTTTTGTCCTTCATCCAAAGGACTTCATCAGTCCGATGAGCCACAAACAAACTCAGTCCCACAAGCAGCACACCCACATAGTGGACCAACCAGTTTGCTGGTGATGGTTTTGATGTTTTGAACCACTGCCTCAGAGGAGTTGACGGGGGAGAGGGCGGGCCCCAGAAACCCATCTTATCACCAGCATACTGGTTGGTCCACTATGTGAGTGTGCTGCTTGTGGGACTGAGTTTGATTGTGGCTCCTCGGACTGATGAAGTCCTTTGGATGAAGGACGAAACGTCTCAACAACAAAAAAAAAATTAACAAAACCGTCCAGATGACCTGACTGAACTTTGTTGGACTATAACCATGTTCCCTGCAGCATCCTGTTGGGGGTGCTGCAGGGTGCCCAGTTTGCTGTTGAGCGATCTGATCCTTGTTTACCAAAGCGGGAACTGTGTCGGCATTCTTGGCACAACGTTGAGCTCGTTGTCCGCACGAGTTGGACACGGCCAGGGCTGTCCTTTGTCTCTGTTCCTGTCTGTGGTGTTTGTGGACAGGATCCCAAGGTGCAAAAGAGAGGAGGGTGTCTGCTTTATGCTGCTGATGTGGTTCTGCTGACCTCTTCAGGCCATCACCTTCAACGTGCACTGGGGCGTTTCACAGCCAAGTGCCAACTGGCTGCGATGAGGTTCTCAACAATAAATGGGTGGAACTTCTCATCCATGTTGAGAGTTTTTCCCTCAGGTGGAGAAGTTCAGGTGTCTGGGTGTGTTGATCATAAGAGATTATCAGATGGAGCGAGACATATCCATGGATTGGAGCCTTGTCCTCTAAAGGGGGCGTTGCTCGAGTTTGTCGAGCAGTAAATCGAAAGCTTTACCTTTCGATTCTTCACGACAAACTCAAGCAACACCCCCTTTAGAGGACAAGGCTCCAATCATGAATGAAGAATCGAAAAGCAAAGCTTTCGATTTACTGCTCTGTGCACTCCAACCCTCGCGATGGTCGTGATAGTGATCATGATCCAAAGAACGAGACCCCTAGACACAAGCGGGCGAAATGGGCTGCCTCCACAGGGTGGCTGGGCTCAGCCTTTGAGATGAGCAGCTCCGTTATCCAGGGGGAGCTCAGAAGTAGAGTTGCTGCTCCTCTGCGTTGAAAGGAGTGGTGAGGTGGTTCATCTGATTAGACTCTTCACTTTAGAAGTTTTTTGAGCATGTCTCACTGGTAAGAGACAAACCTTGAACTCCTGGAGGGATTGTGTATTTTCTCTGGCCTGAGAATTTACTGGGGTCCCACAGGAGTAGCTGGGTTAGAGGGACATCTCTCCTGGACCTGTCGCCTCCATGACCGATTGCAGATGAGCAGTAGAAGATGGAGATGGACTGAGAGGGCCAAGAAAGAAGCTCCTGCTCCAAAAGAGACACCTGCAGGCCTGAGTGAAATCTGCATGGGTCCACGGGAACGAGCTGAATGTTGACTGGAGAAAAGTTTTATGGACCGATGAGACAAAGATTGAGCTGGTTGGCTGCAATGGAAAAATAAATGTTTGGAGGAGTTGAGGTGAAGCTTTTAAACTCCAAAATTATAAAAGATGATGATGGATACTGGTTCATTGCACAAAGTGGGCGGAATAATGAACAACTTTTACTTCAGCTGAAACTGAACATGTTCCCACTGGACAATGATCCCAATCACTGGTTTCTGAATGGATAAAGGATAATGTTGAGCTTCTGGAGTGGTTTTCAGCCATGTTGAAAATCTGTGGATTAAAAACAGCTCATTCTGTGAGAATGAACCAAGTCTGCCTAAAGCTTGTTTGTTACAAAACCATTCAGAATTTTAATTTGAAAGTAAAATTAGATGTTTATTGAAAAGACTAGTGTTTTTAAAATCAGATATTCTCTTCCAGTTGTCAGTCTGATAATGTGACTGATCGTTTGTTTGATTAAAAGCTTTTACAGACGATGGGGTCAGTCGTATAAGAAGCACTTGACTAAACCTGTTCAGATGGTCTGGTACTGCAAAGCAGCTGGAGTTCTGACTTCCAGTAAGGCTCCAGGTTGGTGCATCAGGTCTACTATGTAGCAGCGAGGCTCTGAGAAGCTCTGGTTGTTGGGGTTCTTCGTGAAAAGCTCCACTTCATTCCAGGCCCGGTTGTACTCGCCCCTAACGAGAGCGCAGCTCATTTCAAGGCAGTCGGCAAGATACTGAAAATTTCAGAAGAGTCAGAATCAAATGTCAACGAGAGAAACTGCATTTCCTGCAAAAATGCTGTGTGAATGCTTATTGCTGAAGAACTTGCTGAAAATCAGCTGAAATTAGCTTAAAACATGCTTAAATGTAGCTGAAATTCAAGAACGAGCCTAAGTTGGAAAAAGAAAGTAGAAATTACATATTTACTGAATTAGGTTTAAATAAAAAGAAATTAGCACAAAAAAAAGCTTAAAAAAGGGCTTTTGGTTGTGTGTGTGTGTGGGGGGGGCAGCTGAATAGTAGCTAAAAAGCAGAAAAAAGCTTAAATTGCCAGAAGGGAGTGGAGAGAGCACAATTGTACTCATTTAGCTGAAAGAAGCAGAAATGAGCACAAAAAAGTGTAAATTATCTGAAAAAAGCAGTTTAGCAAAAAAAACAGCTGAATAGTAGCTAAAAAGCTGAAATAACATTAAATTACCAGAAAGAAGTGGAGACAGCACACCTGTGCCCAATTAAGCTTAAAAAAACAGAAATGAGCACACACAAAAAATGCAATTATCTGAAAAAGGCAGAATTTGCAAAAAACAGCTGAATCTTAAAAATGCCCAAAGAAGCTTAAATTACCAGAAGGAAGTGGAGAGAGCACGAGTGTGCCCAACTAGGCTTAAAAAAGCAGCAATGAGCACAAAAAAAGTGGAAATAATCTGAAAAAAGCACAATTTAGCAAAAAACAAACAGCTGAATAGTAGCTAAAAAGCAGAAATAACCTTAAATTATCAGAAGCAAGTAGAGAGAACACATTTTTGTTGGATTAGGCTGAAAATGTTTGAGAGTTAAAAAAAAAAGTGGAATTTGCCTAAAAAGGTTAAATTAGTATAAAACAGCTATAGTAGCTGAAACTTGTAGAGCTGAAATTAGCAGAAAGAAGCTGAAAGGAGCACAAAACAGCTGAAAAAACAGCTGTTTTGATATTTGTTGAAATGGCACACAAACTATAGAACGAGTTGGGTGCTGAAACACGTACGGAACAGTTTAAGGAAACTGGAATAATAAACATAAACAGGATCACTACAGTGTGAACGCTTAATAAGCTTAATAAGCGTTCACACTGTACATACGTTTGCTGATCCTGGGTGGGAGTTGTACCTTGAACAGCAGCGCTCTGTGGCAGAAGACGCCCTTGTCGATCAACCCGATGGGAATAACGTTGGATTTGAGCTGAAACTTGAGCTCACTGAGGTGCAGCACCCATGGGAACTCGTGCAGCTTTTCCACCACCACTGCTCCACCCATGGCTTCACTCACAAGCCTGACAAAATTCAAAATGTCACGAGCGTTTCAAGTTTGATTTGGGTTTTCGTGAGCGTGAAGAATCAGTTTCTCTCTCTGGTCTTTTTTTGTGTGTTTTATTTTGTTCATCTTTCACCTGCCCAGTGCAGCATATTGTTCTTTTTCATGGCGCAGAGGGAAGATGGATTCTTTAGCCTTTTTAACCAGCATCTGCAATGAGCCGTCATGGGTGTTCATCTGTGGTTGCTCTGCTGAGTGAACCTCGTCGTCATCTTCAGCCTCATTCCTCATCCTGTTCAGACGGTCAGACACTTCACAACAAACTCTCCATTAAAGAGAAAGTCAGTTTTATATTCCCTGTGAAAATTAACAGCTGAACTTCAGCCATACGATCACGCAACAGTGTCCTCTCCTCTTCCCTGTTCTGTCTTTACACTCTGTGTGCGTCTTTTTTATTGCTAATGGCTGATTCTGATCTTTTCTTTTGTTTCTCTTCTGGCAGAGCTACAGTCACTCTATCGCAACAAAAAGAAAAAACTGATTTACATCTCTGGATATTAATCTGAGTTTTTTTTTTACTTTTCCTACATATTCCATATTTCCTGCAGTTATTGTGATTAAATTATGCATTTAGATTAAATGTAAATGTGTTGTGTTGATGGATTTATACACTGCTGCCATGCCGACAACAATAATGGGTCGGTGCAGGTTGACCGGTTCTTTGAACAGTTCCTCCAAGGTCAGAATCCTCCGGCCTGAACAAACCTGCAACACACAGACAAAGAAATCTTCTTAGGTCCAGTCATCAGTCTTCAAATGTCATAGTTTGAAACACCAACACAAAGAATCAAGACAGAGAAATAGCATTTCCTGCGAAAATGCAGTGTGAAGAACTTGCTGAAAAACAACTGAAATTAGCTAAAAACATGCTGAAATGTAGCTGAAATGGAAGAACAAGACTACGTTAGCAGAAGAAAGCAGAAAGAACATTTAGTTGTTGGACTTGGTTTAAATAAGTCAAAAATTAGCACAAAAGTTAGTAAGCTGGCTAAAATAAAGGCTGAAATTAACAAGAAATAGCTTAAAAGTAGCTGAAACTGCAGAAAGAAACTTAAATTACCAGAAAGAAGTGGAGAAAGCACAGTTGTACACACTTAGGTTTAAAGAAGCAGAAATTGACAAAAAGTGGAAATTATCTGAAAAAAGCTGAAATTAGCAAAAGTCTGCTAAGTAGCTTAAAAAGCAGAAAGAAGTTAAAATTACCAGAAGGAAGTTGAGAGAGCACATTTTTGATGAATTAGGTTGAAAAAAGTTTGAAACGAGTGCAAAAAAAATGTGAAATTAGGTGAACAGCTAAAATTAGGATAAAAGCAGCTAAATAGTAGCTGAAATAGCAGAAAAGGCTGAAACTTGCAGCAATAAGTTGAAAGGAGTATAACAAGCTGAAATTAGCTGAAAGAAGTTAGAAGAGGCACAAACGTTTTGTAGTTAGAAGATTCTGAAAAGAGCACAAAACAGCTGAAAAACAGCCGAAATTGGCTGAAAGTAGCTAATTTTTTTTGTTTTGTTTTTGTACAAGGAAGCTGAAAGAAGCTGAACTAGAACAAAATGTGAAAGGAGTAGTAAAATGTTGTAAACAGATCTAAAGATTTAAAGGATGTAAAATGAACTCAATTCATTTTCTGAGGGAAAAAGTGGCAGAAAAGGCTAAATATTTCAAAAAGCTAAAGTTGCACCAATACAAAAAGTCATAGCACCCTTCTCCTGAAGGAGCTGTATGTTTTGATATCATTTGTTGAGATAGCTTAAAAACTGCAGTATGAGATGGATGCCAAAAAAACATATGGAATAAAGTATAGGATAAGAAATATAAACAGGATCACAATAGTGTGAATGCTTAATAAGCATTCATTCACACAATAATATTTAAAAGTTATTGCCCACATTTTTTATAGTTTGTGATTCTGAAACCCTGAGAGGCAAGAAGCGTTCTGGTTTTCCATTTTCCAAGTTTTAAGTATTTTCTCCCATGTGAAAACTATTTGTTAGATTTTAAACATAGAAGGTCTGTTCTTGCTTTTTTAATATTAATTTGTACTTCGTAGCACAAAAACATCAGATCAGAAGTTGGTGTCTTTTTTTTCTTGTCTCAATACGTGTGCGTAGAAAAAGAACTACAGAGCACAAACCTTCCCCGCATCATAAAATCCACCAGCAATGTTGTCGGTGGAAGTCAACTGTCCCGTCAGGCTGAATTTAGCTGGTAAGTTGGAGTTCAGCAGGCTGATTAGGGCCACGTCACTGAAAGAGTTTCTACGATTTGTTGACTGACTGATTTCTTGAAGTATCTCCAGAGCTCTGTGGCACAGAAATAAACATTGATGTTGAAAAGAAGAACAAATGATGTCGCCCCCTGCTGGCTGTTTCTGAAATGACATTTCAGAGATTACAACAAACATCTTTGTGTTTTCACTAAGAGACACTTGTGTTACTACAGTTCAGCACATGTTTAAGTTTAATAGTTTGTTTTTGTTTACCCATGTTTGCACATTTCCACTGCAGAGGGTTTATCACTGGCACAAATATTCACAGCAAAGGAAGCGCAGTGCAGCACCTCCTTGTCACTGGAACGCAGCAGATTCACCAGCAGCTGCAGGCCTCCAGCTCTTTGTAACTGTGCAGTAAACATGCTCATTGGTTATAAATGCATATTAAAATATACATTTATTTATTTTGCTTTATGAGGTTGTGATGCAACAAAACAGAAATAACATTTGCTAAATAAAAAACATCAAAAGTGATAATGATCTTATTCTTAAACAAACAAACCTTTATCCTGGCTTCTGCCTCACAGGCCAGAACCGCCACGCACTGCGTGGTGCGGATCAGCACCTGAGGATCTTTGGTGTTCAGAAGTTCTACCAGGGCCTGCATGCCTCCGTGCAGCAAAATGCTGGATCTGATGATCTCCTGTCCTGCCATGTTGCAGAGTGTGGCAGCAGAACTGGCTGCTGTGCCTGGAAGGCTGCCATACAGCTGCTGGATGAGGACCTCGTAGCCCCCTGCCTCATGCACGGCCCTGGAAAACACCACGTTGGTGAACAGACGATGAACTGATCAACTTTTATTCTAATTTATGCTCTCCCATATAATTATACAGAGCTTCTGTAATATATATGTTGTATTTCTTACATATTTGACTTTGAGTGTAGGGACTGGTAAAGTAGAAAAAGCAAAACTATAAAAGAAGGGATGTAAGAGAACGATGCACTGGAAGTGAAGCAGAGGTCAAACATCCTGAGTAATGCAGGAATGACAGAGATGATGGACAAACAGGATGATGACAGCAGGGAGGAAGACAAAGAAATAAAGAAAATACTGAAAGAGAGCATGTAAACGAATCATTTCAGAATAGTGGAGGAAAATAATATTCTTTATTAGTCTTTTGTAAACACTTATTTTGCATTTCCAGCTACACACTTGGATTATCGCAAATGGTACGTCTACAGTCTTATTTTTAAAAAGCACTACAATTGTGTAATATTAAGACGTTAAAATATGATATTTAGCAAACTATGAGCCTATTTTCACTTCTTTTTAAGTTATTTGTCTTGCTAGTGTCTTTGTTTCCTGCTCTTCTGCATCATTTCTGCAGCTCCGCACCAGTTTCCTCTGTTTGACACAAACTTCAGGTGCGGTGGTGCAGATCACTTGTGTTCCAATCCTAATTTTCTAAACTTCAACCTATGACAGGGCTGAAATGCAGTGAGCTAAATGGGTTCATTAAGAGCAGAGGTGGGCAACTTTTTTATTTTTATTTTTTTCAAAGGGCCGAATGGAGAATTGGAAAATTTTCTTTGACAGATAATCTAGACCTTTTTCTTGCTGTAGTAAAGTTAGCATGCTTTATAAAACAAGTCTTTCAAATATCCTTTAGAAATATAAGACGTATTTTGTAAACTGGCTCTTGACACATTTTATTATACACGTTAGCTTAACATGTTATACATGTTAGCAGAAATATGCTAAACAAAATTATATTTGTGTTTCTAAGTCTTTAAGGTTCAGTCGAATTCTGGAAATGATGACTTAATGCTTTTTTTTTTTTTTAGTTTTTTGTAAGATGTTTAATTTAAATGTTCTTGTCTTGTTGATAAATTGCTGGTTTTTATCAATTTATTTAAAAATAATGTTTATTTGTTTTTTTTTATCTAATGGCATTGGGGGCCTGATGGAGATTGTCCAAGGGCCACTTTTGGCCCTCGGGCCTTAAGTTGCCCTCGTCTGATTAAGATAGATGCTTCAATACTCTGGAGAAATGTCAAAAAGAGTGAGTCTACATTTTGTCTGAATTATGTGAAAGACTTAAGTCCGACAGAATATAATCACCTTAAATTAGCTTGTTCTACAACTTCCTAAGTGTTTGGTTCAGTTTTCCTACACTGCCGCTGCCTTTTTGCTCAGTTTTTGTTGAATTAATAAAATGATGGTGTGTAATGTGTTTTATGCATTTAAGTAATTTTAAGACCTGACAAAAACCAGATGCATTTTAAAAAATATACATGACTTGCACTTTCTTCCCTTATTATCTGACATGTGTGGATATCAGAGGTCAAGAGGTCAGGTTTGCCACTCACAGAGAGTTAGGCTGGTTGTTTTGTGTAAGGATAGAAAGAGCCTTGGTCGCTGCCTTTTTTACTTCAAGGCTCTCACTGCTCAGCAGCTGTACCACTGCAGGGATGCAACCTGAAACACAAAAACATTACACACGTTGACATTTTGTTACAATGAGTGGGCTGGTCCTGATGCAGCCGAGTGGTACCCAGGTCTCTGAAGCCGTCTTTGCTGGGTGGGTAGAAGCTCATGGCGGCCACAGCCTGACAGGCAGACGCTTTCACGCCGACGTCCGCCACAGACAGAAGCTCTGCTAGAACTTTCTCTACTTCCTGCTCATGGAGAACTTTGCGGCTTTCAGCTATATGTGCAATCATAACCATCAGCATAAATTAAAAAATAAAACGGTTATTGTGATACAAAGATAAAGTATTTGTATGTGCTTACAGCTTTGTGCCACCCTGGTGAGACATTTAATGGCAGTGGACTGGATTTCAGGATTGTTGGGGATGAGGACAAAGTCCATCAGCCTCGCTAGTCCTCCATCCTCGTGGATCTGCTGGACGGCCTCACGGTCGCTCAGACAGTTAGCCACTACTTGTAAAGCTTCACCGTGCAAGTCACTAAACTCCTGTAAAAAATAAAAATATATACAGGAGCGTAGAATGAAAATGTAATATGAAACGCCGTCTCTTGCCTTCCCGCTCACCTTGTTATGGAGGATATTGATCAGCTTTTCGAAGCCCCTCTCGTTCCTGAAGGTGCTGCGTGTGTCTTCATCTGTCGTGACTCTCTGCAGCGTCTTTAAAGCCAGACGCTGGATGACGGGAAACTCTGATTTCAGCAGATTCAAAAGCGGCGGGATTCCACCCAACGCATGTATGGCCTGGCAGCTTTTGTAGTCCTTTATTCAGCAAAACCACAAAAGTTATAAAACAATGACATTGTCAAATGTGATATAATAAGAGTCACACTAGCTCTTAATCACCTGAGCCAGGTTACAGATGATCTCAAGTGAGTTCTTCCTCACGTCTGGGTCTGAGCTAGATAGGAGGACAATTAGAGGTGGCAGGCCATTGTTCTCAAAGATTTGGACCTTGCTGATGAAATTTACTGACAGAGAGGCAAGGCACAGTGTTGCAAACTCACTGATCACTGTATCCTCTGAGGCAAAGAAACAAATGCATAAAGTTTATTGTTTAGATTGTGACCGCCTTAAAAATACTGAGTGCCTAAAATAAATGTAGATTTAAAAAAAAATACCTCCAAGTGAGAGTATTTCTATAATTGATGGAATGACGTTTAGTTTTTTCAAAGCACTGCTTACGTCACCTGTCACAACAAAACATGAGAAAAACTCACTATTCAGGTGCATCTCAAAAAAATGTGAATATCGTGAAAAAGTTCAATTATTTTCTGTCACTCATTTCAGAAAGTGAAACTCATATATAGGTTCATTACACACAGAGTGATGTGTGATATGTCGAGCCTTTAGTTCTTGGATTTTGATGTTTATGGCTTACAGATTATGAAAACCCCAAATTAAGAGTTTCGGAAAATAAGAATATTGTGGAAAAAGCTCAATATTATAAACTCCTCACTCATTTTGTTTAAGCCAATAACATTAAATTCGGACTAATTCAGCAGAGTAATCCAGTCATGCAAATAAATGGTCAGAAAACTTGACTGTCTGGTACATGCATTGTATTGTTAATCATCATTCCGCCCCATCCTATCTCACTGATCTTCTGCAGCCATATGTCCCACCGCGCTCTCTGAGGTCAGCAGACCAGATGCTTCTCTCAGTCCCAGAAACCCGTCGTAAGCTCAGAGGTGACAGGGCTTTCTCTGTTGCAGGTCCACGACTGTGGAATGAGTTGCCACTGAGTGTCCGGCAGGCTCCCACACTCTCAGTCTTTAAGTCTCGCTTGAAGACCCACTTCTATTCGCTTGCCTTTAACACGGTGTGATTTGTTTTGGCCCGGTCTGTTCTTTACTCTGTTGGCCATTTTAGTTAGCTTCTGCTGCTATTTGTATCTGTATTTCTATTTTATGTTTTCCTGTCTGCTGTGCATGTTTGTGTTCTTTTGTACAGCACTTTGGTTGGCCTTGTTGCTGTTTTAAGTGCTATATAAATAAATTGGTATGGTATGGTATGGTATGGTATCAGAATCCATTGCATTCTTGTGATGTATGTTATAAGACATACCACAGGTGGCCATGATGCCCAGAGCCATGAAGGCATTGCCTCTGACCAGTTTGTTGCTGTGGTTGATGAGCCTGCAGAGAGGCTCCAAGGCTCCAAGTCCCAGCAGAGAAACCTTATTTTCATCTCCTAACAACAGGGGGAGACGATGCACAACAAAACTCAGCAAACCAAAAAAGTCCATGCTCAATAATCCAGGTATACAATCCAACAATTTTCAGTCAGGCCATCTGGACAGTTTTTTTTCTTTTGGTTTTTTTGCTGAAACGTTTCACCTTCCATCCAGAAGGCTTCATCAGTCAAGAAAACACAACACAAAACTGATTCTTCCCCCCAAACTGCTTACTCCTTACTCAGCAAACTAACTTAAAGCAAGGAGGGAAAGACAAACATGTCATTACAAAGTAATGATTAAGAATAAATTTGGCTTAAATTAAGTAAATACAGTCAGGTAGGGTCAATGGAAAAGTAGTTTGGAGTAAAGTAATATTTTAGGGTGTTTCACTGTACCTTTTTCGGCAAAAGTGCGGATTACTATACATGCGTTTACAAGTATATCCTCCTCTGGAGAGTTCAACAGCAACACGGCTGTAGCTGGGGTCTTTATCTCCACAGGTAATGACTCAAACTGAGTGAGAGGAGAGGTAATATGGTACAATTTTAATCAAACTATAGCCATCTGTTTCATATTTGGGACCATATAGCATAAAATGAAAGCAGGTCTCTCTTGTAAATGAGTCCTCGAGGCTCAATGGGATTAACCTGTCTAAATAAAGGTTGAATGAATAACCATAGGCTAGTTAAGTTTGATTTATGGGTAAAGATGAAAAGACTTAATTTACTTTATATTACCGTTTCATTGCATGGAGTTTTTCTATCCTTCCCCGTCTTTCTTCCCATTTTGTGGTCTAGGATAAAAAACAAAACAAACAAAAAAAAAACATAATGTATTAATCACTTAAAGCCATTCAGCAGCTGTTCAAAAAAACTATGCTGAAATAAATCAAAAGCAAGCTAAACCCTAAGCTAACCAAAGAGCTAACGGGTGCTATGCTAGCACCGTTCACCAGCTACGATTAAAATAAACTTTTTTTTTATTTTAACCTTCTTAAATGTTTACTCTAACTTACCCTCAATATCCAGTTTAAGAAGAAACCTGTTTCAATGTTATAAATATTGCACCCATCGACAAGAAGCAGCCAGTCTGTTGACAGTTTTGAAACCGGAAGTTGACTTGGGGTTGCTAGGCAACGGAGTTCTCGCCGAAATCAAATCAATTACGGTTTAAACATTGATTAAAGCTAGTCGCGCATTAATCTCAAGAAATAACTTGGTACATATGCGCTCAAACACGCTGCAGGCTGTGTCCGTATTGCTATAAAAGTAGTCTGTAGCAATTTAAGTGCATAAACTGTGGCATTAACATTCAAACAGGTCGGATAAATCTACGGTGGCCCTGAAGTTCAAACCACATCAACAAATCACTAAACGCAACTCGATAAAGCTGAACATCTTTTGTCATAAGTGCTATGAGCTGGTTTAATCAAATTTAAATATTTATCAGCAACTCCTGAGATCCTTCCTGCCCACAGCCATCAGCATCTATAACAACTCTTTAATGAAACCAGGATGACGAGTTACCACAACATATAATTTCCCTCTGGGATTGATAAAGTATTTTTGAATTTAATTTAATTGAACTGTCACAACTGTTTTGTATGACTTATCACAGCCAAGGCTCTGTTTTATTTGTAAACATAAACAACATAAAGTTTAAAGGAAGCTCACATTTATCTAATTTAGTTTAATGCTATGTTTTTTTAAAGGGTAAAAAAAAAATGTAGTGCAACTGAATATTTCTCTTGTAAAATATTTTCCTGCAAAGCTTTTGAAAATCCAAACAATTTGTTTTCGACTCTGCTTTAGGAATCCTATAGTTTACTTTTATTTACGTCTTTGATGACTGGATTTAGTCTCAGATTTGGGGCATTTAATAAACTCTTTTTAACACTTTGTATGCATTTTGTTATGACTGCTGGAAAAAATGGATCAGTATTTGAAGAGCATATCTTATTTCGCCCTCATGATCAGATAGATTTGTTTTAAACGTTTGTTCTTTGCTCTATTTTGGAGCACCTGGCCCTTTAAAGCCCTCTGCCTGCAGAAAGATGTGTATTGAGATGCATGAGCTGATTCTCAGCCAATGGAAGGCAGGAAGCTGAGGAGCATCATCTTCATCAGAATGCTTGTTTAGGCTCAATGGGTGTCCTCAGATGACCACACAGAGCCCCACACAGGCAGCAGGAGGCTGCTGCTGCTGCAGGACTTTGATTTGGTTCATCTTTGGGTTGTTTAACTTCCCTCTGAAACAATTCATTTCAGAAGGTAAGCTTATTTTGCGTTTAATTAAAAAAAAATGAAGTGACCCTCATTATCTGGTAAATCGTTTTCAATAAGCGACACTTTTGTTGAGGTCAACACTTAAATTTACGCACGGAGCAGGACGCACTCCATCCTTTTTACGCGCCTCTCTTTCCCTGCGCGTTCTCTAAATTATTGTCAAAGTCTATAAAATGCTTCATTAATGCTGACCTCTGCTCTGGGCTGACTGTGCTCTGATTGGTGTCATGACCCTGGTTTGTCTCTCTATTTACTGGCTGACTGGGAAGCAGGTTAAAAAAAAACAACAACACGTGTTTAAACCGGGTGTGTGTGACCCCTCAGCTGGAAATATTGCAAAATCGGCTGTTCTGTTTTACTGCAGATGTTTTTTCTTTTTCAGCCCCCTCTATAGTTTTGGATATGATCTGTTTATTATGGTTATACCTGCTATAGTTAGTTTTCACCCTCTTCTTTTTTAGTCTATTAAGAAAACAATCCCAGTGGACCTTCCCTCCACCCTCAGTGCCATGTCCAGCATCCCTGTCATGCTGAGGGACAGTCCAGTCCGGGGCTTCTTCCCCCGCCCGCATCCTTTCAGCTTCCCGGGGACGCACAGCCTCCCCCACCCGCTCAAGTCGCTCGGTCGGCTGGTGTCGGACACCTCCCTGCCTCTGGGCCTCCCCGGCGGTACCTTCCACAACCAAAGCCCCCCGGTTCTTCACGAGCACATGATGCTGAGCGCGTTCCCGTACAACGCGAGCCAGGTGTTGGCCGGACACGCGCTGTTCTCCAAGCCGGAGGAGCTGGCCGCCGTGGTGACGGAGCACGCAGCCGGTCCGCTGTCCGCGGACTTCAGCAGCCCGGCCAGCGGGAGGTCCTCCTCCTCCTCCAAGGAGAACCTGCACGGCCTGCAGGGCGCACATCTGCCCCCGGAGAACAAGGCCACGTCTTATAACTTCAGCGAGGACGACTTGTTCCTGGTGCTTTATGGGTACTCGAGCGGGCGGGAGCGCAGCGTCGGGCACGCCATATCAGGGGTGACCCTGCCTGGAAACGCAGGTAATCTAATCAGATTAATTTATTTGTGTCAAATAAACACACACATTGGATTAAATATCTCATTACATTATATATTTTTTGCTTGTTTGCTCCAGAGCCGCACATTCCTCTCGACAAAGAAACGCTTGGCCTCCCAGAAGGTATAAGGCAAACCTTTTAATAATCCTAATCGTAATCTCCTTCACGGGGCTGATCTTTAATTCCATGTTGCAGGGTTAATCGTACTGCAGGCTACTTGGGGAAATGCCTCCCACTGTGGGGTTTTCACGGATAAAAGCAGCATCCCCAAAGGCGCGCGCTTCGGACCTTTTCAAGGAAAACTGGTCAACACGAGCGAGATCAAAACCTATGACGACAACACGTTAATGTGGGAGGTGATGATTTATTGTTCCCCACCTTTTAATAAAATGTGCAGGCTGTCATAAAAGCACCGCCGCTCCTCCTCCAGGTGTTTGAGAACGGCCGGCTGAGTCACTTTGTGGACGGCAGAGGCGCGTCCGGAAACTGGATGTCTTTGGTGAAGTGCGCGCGCTTCCCGGAGGAGCAGAACCTGACCGCGGTGCAAGTCCAGGGCCAGATCTTCTACGAGGCCTGCAAAGAGGTCGGGCCTGGCCAGGAGCTGCTCGTGTGGTACGGAGACTGCTACGCGCAGTTCCTCGGGATCCCGCTCACCCTAAAGGACCCCAGAGAGGACAGCAGCGCGCCCCCCCTCACAGAAGGTCAGAAACTTTACGCAGATCTCCAGGTGTGATGTAATCAACACCTCCTTCAGTGGGTTTATTTTGTCTCCAGATGCCGGGGAGGGCTTCAAGTGTGACAGATGCGGGAAGGTGTTCGCCTACAAGTATTACAGAGACAAACATCTGAAGTACACGCGCTGCGTGGACCAAGGGGACCGGAAGTTCCCCTGTCATCTGTGCAGCAGATCGTTCGAGAAGAGGGACAGGCTGCGGATTCACATTCTGCACGTGCACGAAAAGCACAGACCTCACAAGGTACTGAAGAAACGCAGCGCGCGCAGGATGGTGTGGTGCTGAAAGGACAGCTCCCATGTGAAACGACACAGTTTGGGTTTTTAAACAGAACTAAATTAAATTATTGGCTGAAGTATAAAAGATAAAAACATAGCTATTGTTTGTTTTTTGTTTTTCTCAAAATGAATGCGACAATGAACTGTTTTTTCCTCTCTTTCAAAATATAAATTTGTCTTTTTTTTTTTTTTTTGCATGTAGTGCTCAGTCTGTGGAAAGAGTTTCTCTCAGTCTTCCAGCCTCAACAAACACATGCGCGTGCACTCCGGAGAGCGCCCTTATAAGTGTGTCTACTGCAACAAGGTATTATTATTATTATTATTACAAGGTATTAGTCATTAATAGTTCAGCCTGGTCTCATAGAATGGTTTACAAACTAACCTATTCGGGAGTTTAGACTTAGTGTAAGGAAGCCGAGAGTGGACATGTTTAAAAATGTACATTCACGAGATAACGCTTATCTCAACTTGTTTTTGTCGCTATATATTGAACTATTTGTTTCAACTTGAATATAAACGGTGTTTTGTCTGTTATGCAAACGTGAAAAATGCATTAAAACAAGCCACACAGAAATAATTAAAAAAGCTAATATTGTGTCAGAATATCAGTTTTGCTAGCATTAGCATGCGACCAGAAGTGACTTTAAAAGGGATTTTTTAAATCGCCATTTGATTTTTTTTTAAACACGAGTTTCTTTCATAAAAACCTCCTCTCTCAGGATTGTTAAGAGCTCTCGTCAGGCCCAGCAGGCTCATCTTTTCAAGCAGTTTCGGCTTGTTTCACGGTTTAGCTTCCCCTCTTTGTTCCAAGCTTCACGAGACACTTAGATGCTAATTATCGCCAGATGTACACCCGGACTATTGTCCCCACAGGTTGTTGCTTTTAATTTATGACACTGAAAGGAGCTAACTTACTTTGTTCCACTTTTAAGGTAAATTTCTAGGCAAACCGGCTTTTTTCTTCTTTCTATTACTTGGCGCAGTAGGTTTGGTGCAATCTGGGTTCGAACCCGCGACCTCCGGCTTGGGACTCCCGAGCTGCTGCGCCTAAATCTTATTTAAAATCAGCAGGCCTTTAACTCGATTACTTCAGGAAATTTAAATTAACTGATATTAAGTCTCTTGTTTAACTTAATATTAATAATTATATATATATATATATATATATATATAATTATTAATATTAAGTCTCTTGTTTGACTTAATATTAATTATATATATATATATTAACCGTGAACTTGTTTCCCCTTCAGGCCTTTACTGCCTCGAGTATTCTGCGCACGCACATCCGGCAGCACTCTGGTGAGAGGCCCTTTAAATGCAAACACTGCGGGAAGGCCTTCGCCTCCCACGCAGCCCACGACAGCCACGTCCGCAGGACCCACGCCAGGGACAAACTGTACCCATGCGGACTGTGCGGGGCATCTTTTCAGGAGGAACAGGAGCTGAAATACCACGGCAAAATACACACAAGTAAATAACAGTAATTAAAAATAAAAAAAAAACGAAAAAATACAGTATACACAAGTATACCTCTCTTTTTATTGTATTGTTTATGGATAAAAATGTTATTAATTAAATATGACATAGTTTAATTTATCTTTAAAGCACTAAAACATTTTGATTCTTAGAAGTTTAATTTTATGCCATAATGATAAAATGGGCCTCATGTGCACTTTTCTATTTATGTTCTTTAAAATGCAATGGTTCGTATAGGTTTATATGTTTATTTGGACGAACGACATATTATTCATAAACAGAGGTTTGTTTTTTTTTACTTGAAAACTGTCTCTTTATTTTCTGAATCCTTATATTTTGCTTAAAGCATTTACATGAGATTAGTGGGACATATATATTTATTCATATACAATTAATAAATATTAAATTTACAAAACATAAATACAAATTAAAATAATAATAATAAAAAAGAAGAAAATATGCCCATACATCAGAACAGTGGAGCTAAGGAGAACAAAAACATTTTTCTTTTATCATGTTGGGTAATCTTTTATCTTTCTGCAGAGAGACAAATGGAAACCACGGCAGTCCAGTCTCCTGGAGCTGGAGTGGAGGAGGACTCCACGTTACCGATGAAGGACCTCCATAATTTACAGAAGAATCCTGAAAAGAGCTTCTCCTTTCCCGGCTTAACAGTTTTAAACTCTGAATATCGGCCCTGGAACTGAAAAATACCAAAACCCTGTGGTGTAATTTAAATGTTACATCAAGCTGGACAGACTGCTGCTTATAAAACAAAAGACATTTAATTGTATTAATATTTAAAAGTAGATGCTTTAAATTATGTAAATGTGTTTTTATGGTGTTATTCTGTGACTTTCCCCAAAAAATGTAGGGCTTATTATTATTTTTATTATTGTTGTTATTATTATTATTATCACATGCATTGTTTACATATCCACACATTTTGACTGTTACAGTTTTGAGCTTGTTTGTAATTTAAAAATTATATTGTTTATGTTTATAGAGCTGCCTAAAGTGTTTATCTTCAATAAGTAATAAATCGGTGCATGAAAAGAGTGTTATTTTTCCCAAATTAAGAAGTTTTTTTGTTTGTTTAAATTTCAGCTAAATATATCTGTTTACATTTTAAATGGATACACTGCAACAAATTGGCTATTTTGGCTAAATGAATATACCACACATAATTTTTTACTAAATTTGTAGTAAAATATTGGCAGATGAGAGAAATATGAGGACAATGTGTGACACAAAAGTTTGTATTTAATGTAAAATTCACAGTTGAAAACTTTAATGTTTCATGTAAGTTATACTGAAAAAAATATGCACACTGTAAATCAAGTGTGGTGCAGGAAAAAAAAAAGCAGTAAAACATTTTATTCAAAGCAAATTGGCAGAATTTCTCATTAAAATCTAGGATGAGTTTCTGATACAGCACTGCAAATATCGCAAAAATAACAATACATTTCCTGTGGGTGTCAGAATTTAACTATTAAACTAAGATGATAAAAGCAAAAAAAAGTAAAATATAAAACTTTTTCCTTGTAATAATTCAGTTTCAAGTACCTTGAAGTATAAAACACATCTGATGCTTTTTATTTCACAACTAAACATTTAATTATGACTTCATACGGTTCTGACAGAATTATACTATGGCAGAAAATGAGCATGTTTTCACAACGCTCTGACTTGAAGCCGTTTCTCTGGGGCGGTGTGACAGCAGCTAACAGTTGTTATCCAAACTGAACCGCACTTCAGCATCGTTTTGCGATTGTCCGGGCCTCGAACATGTCCACCAGCCTTGTGATGAACTGGACGATGAATACTCACGGCAAACGCGAACAAACCCCGGCACCTAATGAATGACAAAGGAGCGAAGCTGTAAAGTGAACACAAAAGGAGCTCACTCTGACTGACATCTGCCCTCACTCCATCACCAACTGTCCCACACGTGTCCCATCTGACAGATATAGATAGATAGATAGATAGATAGATAGATAGATAGATAGATAGATAGTGAGGAGAGCAACCTTTGAGGTCAAAGGTCAGCAGCTCACTAAATGTTAACAGCCCTCCCCTTTTTTCCAAATAGCCAAAATATGGATGCTTGAACAAGTGTAGATCTACTGTCATCGGACCTGCCCCTCCCATGTATACAACCCCCGAGCCACCATGAAGGGACTCGCTGTATTAAAACTCCCTTTATGTGGTCTTTCAGGAACACAGGGGTGGAGAAGAGTAGAGAAAGACAGAAGGCGAAAGAGAAGAATAAGCTGCCAGAGCTGAAATACTGAGATTGTTAACGCTCTGTGCTAAAAGACTGGTTTTACTAGCGCCTCCTCTGATTGGCTGATTTAGGACTCACCGCTCTAGCGGTGAGAGAATTTTTATACGGATTGATTTCACACTTAACCTCCTGGCACGTTAACAGGGCCTCTGCGGAGCTGTACATCAGACGCCTTTATGCATTGATGTAATATTAATAATAGCAGAGATTTGCAGATGTCCCTCTGAGATTAAAACAAGCATCTTTACCAAACTGTAAAACGTTACACCACCTCAGAAAAGTGGTCACGACTAAATGCACTGTTGTGATTAATTAATAATGTTGGGTGATATAAAGGGCCGAGAGCTGAAATGTTCTTACAGTTGGAGATGCTTCTTTTCTCTTCCTCGTTGTCCGAGCTAAGCAGCTCTTCTGTATTAGTGTCTATTGATTGTCTAATAGGCGTCCACGTGTGTTGTTTGTGTGTGTGTGCTCCAGACAGTGCTCAGACTTTTAGCTGAGTGGACTTCTAAACTACAACCACAACAGCTCTCTCTGGCTGTACATGTCTCTGTCTCTTTTTCAAACCACAGGACAACTAATTGATGTTAAAGATAAAGTCGAGCTTTTACCTGTTTTGCCTGCACATAAAGACTTTTTAATATTCCCAGATGAAACTAAACAATTTTACTCGCACAAACAAATATAAGACACTTTTCTGACTATTTCCAGTAATCCACTTTGGTGCATTTTATTGGAGGAAAAGTACTTTATAGTATCTAACTTACAGGCTTAATTCCTATTTACTTTTACTATAAAGGTAAAACACATTAAATAAAATTATAAAATAGCTCAATCAATGGTAAGCAATCATTTCGGCTTACACTACCTCACTGTTACATCACATTTAGGACATTGTAGTGTTCTAAAGGGCTAGGTTAGCTTCGGAGCTTCACTACAATTATATTTCAAATAACGAGTTCTCTCTTTTTCGAGCTAATTACAGCCATGTGACGGAAGTAACTGTGCGTAGATGGTTTAATCAGTGACATGAGACGTTAATTTTCTTTGACCCATCAAAATAAATGTGGTCATTTATTAACAGAATCAAAATTTAACATCAAAACATTGTACACTTGATTAGACTGATCTGGTTCTGATTAATAAAACTTGGCACGTTTTACTTAATAAAAACAACAGACATTTCTGAAGGCATCTGGATTAATTACTGGCAAGATAAAAGAGTTTTAAAGATGGGAAATATGGAGGAGTTTAAAGGGAGATGTGGAGGAAGATGTATGTCTGTGGACCAGAACAATACGCTCCTTTCAACCGCAGCTCGCCCGCGGTACACTACAGTGCGAAGCTCGTGACGACTCTTTACCTTGGCAGAGGATGAGTCCGCTACGGTCAAGAGGTCCCTGGCACACTACCTTTCAGCATCTCCTCAGGGCGGCTGCGACTCGGCAGAAGTCGTGAGATACTCCATTCAACAGAACAAACTTCCTCAGAAGTTGTAGGGCATTCGCCTGGTGGAGCCATAGCGAGGCGCCGTGACTCCTGCAGAGATGGATGACTCCATCAGACTGGAAAACTGAGTCCTAAGTTCCACTCAGCAGTGGAAAAACTCCAGAACTCCAGAACAGCTAGAGCTGAAGAACAGAACTTCACTCCAGAACTACTCCACAGAACCTCAGAAGACTATAGTTCCAGGAAGTGCCGACTTTTAAAGAGTTCTGCTTCCGGTCACTTTAGTAAATCCTGATTGGTTGAAGCAACCAACAGGGGTGTGGTTCTAGTGATGTTGGTCTTGGGTTTTTACAAGTCAAGAAAACAGCAAGAATGTTTTAAGAACAGACAGAAATGTTTTGGCGAAGTGAGAAACACTGCAGGTGCCAGTTTTCTTATTTGCTGTCTGAGAGCTTTAAAAACACGACAGCTCGTTCTACAACTTGTTTTTGACAGTCTCTGACTTTTGACCGACATCACTCCTTCTCATTTCAGACAGAAGATCAAAATGCTTAATTACTTTGTAAAATAGACATTTTAACTTGATTTCTAATTTAAATAAGCATAAAAAAAAATCATTAATACTGTTTCACAGTTGATTTAAAATGAGTGGTTCACTTCAACATTTAGAAATGGTATGAACTAAACACACTTTTGATTATCAAGATATTGTAAAATAGTAATGATAATTAAAAAAGAGAGTGTTCTTTCAATTGATTAGTTCAGGATACATTTAGAAAGTCTCTGGATGAGCTAATTTGTATTTCTGGCTTCAAATCAATGAAATAACAGTTCCTGTCCCATGAAGGTCTTCAGAGGCAGGTTTTGGTCGGAGGCCTAGTCCACTACAACATCAATATTGCTAATCATAAGAAATCAAATAATGAATTTTAATCAAAATTTCTAACATGTTTTTAGTCCAGTAAAGGTAAAATTGTTCAAAAGAAAATCAGAATTAATGTCAACAAGCTGATGCTTCAGTATTCATGCAGGAAGGAGCTATAATAAATTAGTGTTGAAGCAAACAAAAACAAGTAAAAGACACCAACAATGATATATACAGTATATATTATATACGGTAGTGCAAAGACCAGAGTAAGGAAGTGCGCTCTGTTTGTCCTATAGCAGCTAAACTGCGAGCTAGCTCAGGGAACTCAAGCTAACCCCATAGGATTTACAATTGCTTTAACAGTGTGTGAGCCTCATGGACAAAAACTGATGCATACTGGATAGTATAAATGATAAATGAAACTTTTTGCCTGCTATTATACTTTTAGGTCATTTTCACCCCTGATAGTCCGGTAGACTCGGTTTGATTGGGGACCAAAATTCGGAACATTTACATTTTCAGCTGGTGCGGTTCACATTCACACTGCACATAAGTCAGTTGAGCCAACCTGTTCCACTCCTCCCCTGTGGTGGCGCTGCACCATGAAGGAAACGACACGAAAACCACTGAAGAAGACGCTGAGCACAGCTTACTTCAGGAACTAAAAACAAGAATGGAGTGGTGTCACATTGTAGCAGTTTTAGGATTTCTGTTTTGTCATTTTTCAACAATGGACTCAGCATGAGCAGAAGATGAGGCAGAAGACCGTGGAGAATGTTTTCACACTAGGCGGCTGAGACGGCTCTGTATGAGGTATGAAATGCAAGTTTGTTTTGGCTGTATTTACACAGAATGCCCTGCGCTGTAGTCCACTTCCTGCTTTTGGAACGTCTTGCATTCACAATGCATTCGAACCGCGCCAGAGTTCACTTCAACCGAACCGAGACCTAGGTATTTAGGTGAACCAGAGTTCGCTTTTTTGGTCTGAATCAGAGTTTGATTGCACATTCACACCTCCCCAAACAAACCAGACAAACAGACTGGAGTTCGATTAAAGCAGACTAAATGGCTGGTGTGAATGCACCATTAGAAACTCTAGGAAC